GGTCAAATATGTCTCAAATGCCTGCCCATGTATTTCCTGGAAAGTTAACATTGTCATTTTCTTCAGTATTTCACAGTATTTGAATTTTACCCATAGATATTTGCTACAGTCGATGGTCTATCAACAATTTTGCTGATTGATGGTTCATTTCAATTTTTAGCATAAAGAAAAGAAATAATCTGTGAGAGTAGCATCAGAAAATTTTAAAATAATACAAAGAGCAATTGGTGGTACAGAATAATCAAATAATCATAATTTAATTTTTAATTTTTACTAACATCACCATTCCGTGGTAGCATATGTGGAAACTTTAAAGAGTTTAGGGTGTGAGAAATTACTGGGAACACTATGCAGAATTACTGTATTTCTGAGTTACTTGAGGTGTAACTTCCGTAGTGTATAACCACTGAGCCTGTACCACAGAATCTCACTGAGTCTGGTAAAAGCAATCCCCATTGATTTCAACATATTAGTTAGCTAGTCCCTGTAGCTAGCTATTTGAAACTCAACAAAGTAATTGTAAAAGTTGGAAGCTCAAAGTTAAGTTCCAGAGAAAACAATGCTGTTAGTTGATACCTAATCATGAAGGCACCTAAGCATCTCTTAACTTTTGGCTTCAGCTTCTAGTGAATTATTTTAGACCTTGAGATTTTACCTGTAAGTAATAATTTTCTCTAAAAGTAAAAATAAAAGTTTAGAAATCAGAAATATTTGGCACCAATGACAAATGAAAATACAAGCCAATATAAAAATAGATTATAAATAAGGATAGTTAACGTACAGTGCTTTCAAATTGCTATCCAAGGGGTTGTTGTTTTGTCCCTTTGTATGACATACTACTGCCACCATGAGAAAAATCTGACTTAATTTCAGGGGTTATTTTACTCTACAGTATTTATTTCTGTACTGCATGTGCAGATAGGTTATTTACAAAGCATAGTTAGTTTTGGCACTTAAAATACTCAAACAAACAAAGATTCCCGGAATTAGAAAGAAAACTTCCAGTAAAAGGAAGACTGAACTCCAAAAGTTCAAACAATACCTTAACTAAACACGACTAATCTTCAGGGATTACATGTTACTATCTTTGTTTTTCAAGTGCAGCATTAGTAGAGTTTTTAAAATCTCACTTCTCCATAAGTTTGTAATAATTTTTCTGATACTATTTTTGCTTTGGCAGACCCATAGTTTAGGTTTCTGTGGGGCTTTTTAGTAATACTAAACCTCTCCATTAAACCAGTTTTATTCCAGCTGTTCACTTAGATCCACGATGAAAAGACGGCCTTGCTGAATTTACAGGAAAGTTAAAATTGGTATAGAAGGTGCTGAATTGGGCCCTATGTTTTAATTAGGTGTTTTCTGTGTATTTATTATTACAGTGGTTTATTTTCTCCACAAGAACAAGTTGATGTGATCATTGCCTTTGCTAAACATTTCTTTCCAGATTGAAATCATTATGTTTGTCTAGGGATGACCAAGTAAATCATTGTTTCTTCATGGGATGAAAGAGGAAGCAAATGAACAAGGAGATAAAAATACCACCATAAAATAGTAAAACAGCCAAAAGATCAAGTCCAAGTTACCACATATGTCAGGAAATATGAGAAAGCAGACAAGAACTTAAGCTTTCTGTATTGGTACATGCAGCATTTATGCATCTTTTTAAAATAATGCGTAACAGTTTCCTGCCCAAATCATGACACAATTTACAAGAAAAAAAGAAGTTGATGGTACTATTCATATAAAGAATTAGGTTATATTAAAAGAAGTCCATAAGTTGTGGGGAATGGAGTAACTAATCCGTGGCTTCATGGATAGTCTCAGGAACTTCCCACTTCTCTTTCTATGCAGTGTAATTAGGCAGCCCAAATCGATAGGAGCATGCTATAGATGCTGAATACATTCCTTTAGAGGCACTGGTGGCGAGATTGAAGTATGATATTCTTGGGGAAGGAGTAAAAGAGGTAATACTACATTTGGTAATTAGATTCCCATAAAGTTGTCTCCTGAAAGTCAGGTTTTTCTACAGTTTTGTGATCTTTGTCTCTAGTGGAAACAAGGCAGAACAGCAAAACATGCAAAATTAACCTAATTAGTAACCTAATTTTGAATTTGTCATTCCTTTGTTTTCAGGGCTAGGTCTTCAAGTACAATTTCACAGAATTGCAAATGAGGTGCAAGTAATTTTGAGGAAAGAAATTTGTTCAAAAAGTTGTTAAAAGAGCTAAATTTCTGCTTCGGCAAAGAAAAAATAGCTCCTATATCTTACTGCCTTTAATATTGCTAGCTAAATGTGAGAAGCTCTGGCTCATGCCCACTGAGTTCAACAAGAAACAGCTTGAATCCACAACATTTTGGATCAGGCACAAAATTATTTTCGTGGCTTCAAGGAATAGGAATATATAGGACTATAAGGGAGTACAGCTGATAAAATGAAATTTTGTTCTCACTAAATTCAGTAGGAATTTTACTGTTAACTTAGAGAAGGCTGAAATGGTTTATGAAATATTAACTTATTTCAGTTAAGCTGAATTATGATTGGGTGAGCTGACCATGGAAAGCTCATGAAAAAAAGTAAAAATAATAAAGGAACTATCAAGACTTGAGTTTAATACCAGCAAGCTATTAATTTTTTTTAAGGTTTTACAAAAATAACAAAAAGTGAAGAAACCGTTCTCATTCCTTGAAAATGTAAAAAAAACCCCTAATGTACCAATTTCTTTTTTTTTTTTTTTACATTTTAATCCACTCTGTCAAATACAAAGGGTAATATTGACCTTTTTGCCTGTATAAACACCAAGCAATTTCACAGGCACCAGCATCAGAAAAATTACATTTATATCAATGATAGGATCATGCATTATACTTCAATATAAACCCATCTGAAGATATTTAACACACTTAGTGGAGTGGTGCATTAGTCCTGTTATGTGGGAGCCGTATCACTGGCTCAGTGTTATTGGTGCTTTCCTGGCCCTTGGGACCTTAATTCCCCAAGTCAAGATTGTGTGTTTTAGAGATGTACCCACAAAAGACAACTAAAGAGAGGAAAATGCACTAAAGTGATCAGGAATAATAACAATGAAAAATTAAAGATCCATCACCATTCTACTTCTAAAATTGCATATAACTTACGTGAATAATGATATTAAAATAGCTTCTTTTCCTGTATTGGATGCCTCTGCAGTATACTCCATTATTTCAAAATAACACTGGAAGAGGATTTAGCTGAAAAACTTCCTTGTCTGAGACCAAAATAAAGCTTCATTAGCATAATTCTTTACAATCCTTCTGTTAATATTTTCCAGGACATAAATATAATTATCCTTTCTGTCAAATAAAAAGAAAAAAAAGAAAAACAGGGAACATAGTGAAATTGTGAAGATCTAGATTACAACTCAAATGAAAAATGTGGGACAAACTGGATAGGAATATAAAAAGTATCAGTTCTGACTGAAGTATGAAACTTATGCAAACAACAGGGAAAAAAAAAAAAAAACCACCACCCTTTTTAGAACATTTTGAGATGTGTGAAAACTACAAATGCTAGAACTGTGAAGAGGAAACTGGGAATTTGATCCATATGTTCTGGAAATGCCACTGCCCACAGCTAAATTATTTTTGGAGAACAGAACAGAGAACAGAAGAACAACTGCTAAAGCTGTTATAAACACAGGGTCTCCCTGGTGATGCAAAGATCTTACCATGGCAGATACTAATGAGTGACTATTACCATCTGGATACCACATACAAAGAAAAAATCTTTGGTATGTTCTAGAATAATTACTAAGGAATAAGATATTATTTATCACTTATCTCACTAATTCTCTGAGGATAAATCGTTCCACTAAATCCAAAGAGAAAAAACACTATTAAGCGTGGTTCATACATTGATTTTCTTCATATAGGTGAATATAATATAAAAGCATCTAGCATTTGTAGTTTTCACACATCTCAAAATGTTCTAAAAAGGGTGGTGTTTTTTTTTTTTCCCTGTTGTTTGCATCTGATCTAAGTACTGTATTAGGGAAGATAATATTTTAAGCTTGGGAAGCTTTTTATCATGGTATATTTTTCACAGTGAAATATTTTTAAACTCTGCAACACATGAAATAGCAGTAAGATCTGTGGACAGATTCTGCTACTGCTTCTCAAAACCAAAAGCACATCGTGCTTATTACAAGAGAAATAATTACCAGATAACTTGGGCTTGATACCATTAAACTTGTTCAGAAATATGTGACTAGAACGAAAGAACGTAATTCGTTCAGCTATCAAAGACAACCAAGCGTTATATTTCTGTTCTGTACTTTTAGCAAGCAGATTCTTCATACCAGTTGGCATCTTCCACTTTCCACCTAAAGGCTGACCCTGGACACTTATTCCTCTGACAGTTTGATAGCCTGCAGTTCTCACATTCAGTTTATTCTAGACAGTCAGTACCCATTTGCACCAGCATTATCCTTCTAGAGTGCAACATGTGCTCTCGTAACTAGTTCATGCTAGTAACTCATGCCACAGAAAGGGATAGAGACCAACTTAGAGAGTGGTAGATTTAAAGAAAGCATTATGTACATTTTCTTGGCTATACCAGGAAACTCTACCTGAAAAAGCTAGAAGATGTTTATAAAAAATTCTGAATGGTGGCAACTATATACCATCTGTTTTGTTCTCCTTTAGAAACAAATTGCATCAAGGTTCTATATACCACCTCTCCCTCACAACAGCCATTAAGCAAAACCCAGCAACAAAGTTGTGACTATCATATTGAAATAATAAAAATAAATAGTTTGTTTCATTACAAATGACATTTGAAAAATATATTAATAACACACTTCTGGTTTGATACTAATTTTTACTCTTCTGTGAAAAAATGTCTTTGCTAAGCAATTTATGAATTCTGAAAAGAAATAGTTCTCTGCACATGTAATCATCAAACTTGAACTGACCCTAAGTACAGTTTTTATTTTTCGTGTCTTTATTCATTCTTTTCTACGTAGTATTTGTGGAATTCAGCATCTGGAACGAGCAGGAAACAGGTTGACTCTCTTTGACTCCCTTTATTTCTGCATAGTGACGTTTTCCACTGTGGGCTTTGGGGATGTTACACCCAAGATATGGCCTTCAAAGCTGCTTGTTGTCATTATGATCTGTGTTGCCCTTGTGGTGTTGCCCATACAGGTAAATGTGGATTTTTCTTCTCTTAGAATTGTTTTTAAAACTAAAGAATAATAACTGAAATAATTTATTGTTACTATTATTATTGGTTATAAAATGTCAGAAAAAGTAACCGTCTTCTATATCTCCTAGTTTTGGGGGGGGGGTGTTGTGTTTTTTTGTTCCTTTTTCCTTTGTCTGTTCTCCTATAGTCTAGATTTATACTAAAAAACAGAACACTAAAACAGTTTTCAAGTGCTGGTGAAAACTTTCTGTTCCTATCATGTACCACAGAGCCCTTCCTTCATCCTGAGATATGGATTTGTTATTAATGGAGCAATTTAAAAAACAAAAGTAGCAGCACTTTCTTTATGAATATAGCATTTCCTCTGCAGGCTCTCCCTGTTTCTAATCTTGGTCCTTTCCGCTTCCTCTCTTACTCTTACAGCTCAGTGCTAACTTGAAAAAAATCTCATTAAATCTGCAACTCAAGCAAATTGGGTTCACAGCTGTGTATGTCAGTACAAATACACATACACAGAGCCAACAGCACAGTTAGGAATTTTTGATGCCTACTTAGGCTTAGGACTTCTCACAGTTTCAACAGGAAAAGGCTGATTTATGAAAATCCAAGTATTTCAAGAAGTCGATCAGTTTCATTAATTTATACCAAACATTTCCCAGCTCATTAGGGGAGGCTTGATGGCAGAAACCCTGAGATTACATGGGAAGCCCTGCCGAGATACTAACTGTTCCACATTTGGTCTCATGCCACAAAAAGGGGGTGTGGGGAGGCATTGTGCGTGCTTGTCAAAGCTTTGAGTAGACCTGCTAGACCGTGAAGCTCTGAAGTTTCTCACACGGACATAGTTTCCAGACTTGGCTTCTTTGACAGTGAACCAAAGCTCACTGATAGCAGACAACACAGAAACCCTGTGAGGTTGGAAGCTCAAGCTTTCAGCATTAATTTTCTTGAAATTATTTGAACATTTTAATTATACCTAAACATTTAATGTCTGCATACGCAGACATACGTGCTAACACAATTTTATTCCCACTCAGTGGAAATTTAGTAAAATAGATATTCTATTGAAAACTAACATATGCTTTGTTTAAGAAATGTGGAATTTTCTAGGAAATAGAAATTTCATCTTTCAGGTAGTTCTGATATACACTTCAGGCACAAGAGTTCTGCCTTACCAGTAAATAACCTGGGATCCACAGCCTTTTCACATAAATTTTAATCTACTTTACTTTATAGCTTCCTAGTGATAATGGAGCTTCATATAGTTTTCCAGATACAGAATGTGGGAGGCATTCTCTTCCAAGCTTTTGTCCTGTTATAATATGAAATCAGTTATTATTTATGATTCAGTCTCTCCATCAGTTGAACGTGAATGAGAAAAAGCAGCTATCACACAGATACATGGTGAATTAAATCAGAATTAAATGCATATTACTTACAAGGAATTTTGAAATGGTATTGTATATTTTATTACAGATTGTTAACAGTGGCACTGATTGTTACAGTATTCTTTTTAATCTAAAGGATTCAGATTAGTAGAGCTATGTTTACTGTTAGCCTGCATATGTTGTTCAGCTGGCAAGGCAAATTTGCTGTATTAACAGCTGCTGTGTATATAACTTCTATTTAAATTTATAAAACAAATAAGAGAGTATATAGAAGGTCACCTTCAGAACTTTATAAAATCTCTGTGAAGAGTTATTGCCCAAGCTAATTAAAATCATGCTTCTATCTGAGTATCTATACTCATAGTATACACTTAAGTTTGTGAAACTTTAACCTTTCATTTGAGCATTTATGTCACAAGGCACTGGAAAAAGAGAGCTCTGAGGTATAAAATACATAAAGGAAATAAGGTACAGCCCTCATTCTTCTATGAAATCTTGAAATTTACTGGAATTGCATGATATTTTATTGGATTTGCTGTGCTATTTGTGTGTGGTAGAGACTGGCTCTACTGCCATGTTTTTCAGTCATGCTATCATTCATCTCACATACTTAGTAAAGTACTTTTTACAAAGAAAAAGACATTGTGGACTAAGGGCATCTTTTCATAGAGGCATGAGATGAATGATGGAACATTGTTAAGTCGTGATACAGTTGTACTGCACATCTGCTTGTCTGTATGTCAGTGACAATTGGCATCTCTTGCAGTTTGAACAGCTGGCATATTTGTGGATGGAGAGACAAAAGTCTGGTGGTAACTACAGTCGACACAGAGCTCAGACGGAAAAACATGTTGTACTGTGTGTTAGCTCTCTGAAGATTGACTTACTTATGGATTTCTTAAATGAATTCTATGCTCACCCCAGATTACAGGTACTTACAGTGAAAAAAAAAGAAAATAAGCTCAAAACACTGATTTTTTTGGAGACAGCCTTCTGAAATGATCTTTAATTTGTAAAATTGAATTTGGGAATAGCTGTCTGAATTGGGAATCTATAATTGCAATAAGAAGCTGAGATACAGTATGGAGACATTAATTTTAAATTGAGGTAAACAGACTAAATAGTTAGAATTACTGCCTTGTTGAATTATGCCAGTCCTTTTAGAAACAGATGTTTCCATTCAAGTTCCTTATTTTCTACCCCAAAATAGAAAATAAATGAAAACTACCCAAATTATTTTTTCCTGTTCTTTTGGGACTAGATCCAAAACTCATCACAAGTCAAAGCGTCTTCTGTTTTTCACATTTTGCATTGGGTTTTTTGCCAGTGTTAGGAAGATTAGATCCTTTTGGAACTGTTTAAATTAAGAAAAAAGTAGATGTACTTTAAAGGACAAAGACCTTGAAAGATTGCACACGAGATTTTCTTAGTGTACACGTATTCCCTAGCTAATGCAAACAAATGTCATATGACTTGTTTGATCATATAAAGGCTTATTTATATGAGATAGCAATTTGGATTCATCATCATTAGCTTTCCTACAGACCATTTCTTTTACTAAATCTTCTGCATGTCTCTTACTAAGTTACCTGTGATACCATGCTTCATTAACTAGAGGAAAAAAAAAAATCACATCTTCTGCATGTCTCTTACTAAGTTACCTGTGGTACGATGCTTCATTAACTAGAGGAAAAAAAAAATCACAAAAATACAGCCCTCAAATTGCTAAGCAGCAATTTGATAAATCCCAAATCCAAAATATCCCCCAAAATAATTAGCTAGTAAGAGGCATAAGCAAATACAGAAAAAAAATATCCAATTCTTTAGAGATGCAAACACAAATTGAAATCCAAAATTTAGTAAACTACCCTGAAGAGTGACTCAGGCTCTGTGATACACTAGAGACAATGAAGAAGAGTCCTATTACTACTTATGTACCCTAGAAGAGCTTATATACATTCCCTTCACAGTTGAAATGGGAACCTGGAGGATACAGATGATACACTGGACCCAATGCACTAAGCTTTCTGCAAAAGTCTGTGTGTGCTAAGGAAGGCTTCTATGACAAGCCTGTCCTAGGCTCTCAGTCTCTCTTCTCACATTCCATTTATTTCTCCTTTTCATACATACACACATATATACTTCAGAGCAACCTTGCTTTTCCTAACAAGGAAACACAGGAAACAGAGTTTGGATCTGCCCATTAATATAGTGGAAAAAATTTGGGGGAAGACAATTCCATTGATTGTTGAAAACTTACATTTTCCAGCTAGAATGACAGAAATGTATACTGTGTCTAAAAAAATTTATGCTCATATGGAAAAAAAAAGTTTCTAAATGGACTTTACTTGCCACCCTGGAGTCTTCTTTACGCAGCTTACAATTGTCCAGCCATTTTTATTAAAGAATTCAATATTTTAAACACATATATTCAAATAACTTTTGTCAATGAAATCTGAGAAATATCAGAGACATTTTTGACATCCTGAGTCTCTGTTGACTCATTCTCTAGAAACAAGTGGATTGATAGCAGCCCTGAGGAGAAGGACTTAAGGGTGTTAGTGGATGAGAAGCTCAGCATGAGCTGGGAATGTGTGCTCGCAGCCCAGAAAATCAAGCGCATCCTAGGCTGCATCAAAATAAGTGTGGCCAGCAGGTCGAGGGAGGTGATTCTGCCCCTCTACTCCACTCTGGTGAGACCCCACCTGGAGTACTGCATCCAGCTCTTGAGACCTCAATACAGAAAGGACATGGACCTGTTGGATTGGGTCCAGAGGAGGGCCACAAAGATGATCAGAGGGCTGGAGCACGTCTCCTGTGAAGACAGGCTGACAGAGTTGGGGTTGTTCAGCCTGGAGAACAGGAGGCTCTTAGGACACCTTACAGCAGTCTTTCAGTACCTAAAGGGGGCCTAAAGGAAAGATGAGGAGGGACTCTTTATGAGGGAGTGTAGCAATAGGACAAGGGGTAATGGTTTTCAACTGAAAGATATTAGGAAGAAATTCTTTACTGTGAGGGTGGTGAGACACTGGAACAGGTTGCCCAGAGAAGTTGTGGATGCCCCATTCCTGGAAGTGTTCAAGGCCAGGATGGATGGAGCTTGAGCAACCTGCTCTAGTGGGAGGTGTCCCTGCCCAGGGCAGGGGGGTTGGAACTAGATAATCTTTAAAGCCCCTTCCAACCCAAACCTTTCTATGATTCTATGAACAAAAATGATAAAATAAAAAAATAACATGACTATTGCCCCTTGTGTTTTTGACAGGACTATTATGTCGTTATTTTGTGTCCTACTGAGATGGATGCTCAGGTCCGAAGGGTTTTACAAATCCCAATGTGGTCCCAAAGAGTTATCTATCTGCAAGGCTCAGCACTAAAAGATCAAGATCTGTTGAGAGCTAAGTAGGCAAATATTTTTTTTAATTTTGTGTTGCTCATACTGTTTGATTAATAAGTTTGACAAACAACAAAAGCGGTGCTAGAAGGAAAGCATGTGCATTTAGGAAGCAAGGCTCTTTGATATAATTTGTTTTTCTTAATATCCGAAATTTTTCAAGGAACAAATATTTTTAAGCTCTTTCATTTGTACAAATTTGCATTCACTTTCTTTCCTCTCTCAGTTTTTAAAGGTGTTGAAATAGACTGCCTGTGATTTCTTCTGAAAAAGCAGCACAGAAAATTCTAAAACTGCCAGTAATGCTAGAATATATCTCTGTTCCTTGAGCAAAGATAGTAAATGTGATGGTAATTCTCTTGACCAAGTGTGAATGGGGAAAAAAGCAAACAAAAATAATTATCACCCTTTGAGCCCGTTGCACAATTTTTCTTTTCTTCCTAAGTTCAGCCTGGTAGTATACACAACTAGTCTACTGTGCCTCCATACTCTTCTTTCAGGGCTATCTCTTACCACTTACTTCACCACTTTTAAAAAATCCTCTCTGCCAGTTAATAGTGAATGACATTAATCAAAATACATCAGTTAAACACAGTTCCTCAATCCTCCCCACCATCACTCAATCACTTGAAAGTGTGAAGGAATTCACAGTGGAATTCACGTAGGAGGATTGTCTCTTTAAACTCTTCAAAGAGAGAGAAAGGTGATTCTTAGCAAATAACTTATTTAACTCATCTGCATTGTTCTTTATAAGAACTTATGCAGCAACTAATATAGATATCTAAAATTAAGCCAATACTTTTCTGAGTATTTGTGTCATTCAGCCTTCTTTACCTCAGGAGAGTTATTTCCAAGAATCTAATCTCTGTGAAGTCTAGTGAGCAGTGTTAGCTTCTCTGCCACTGGAAAAACCCAACTATTTCTATATCTATTTAGAAATAGAAAATACAAAAAATAAAACTTTTTTAAGGATTAGGAATTTTCTTTTGGAGAGAGGTTAATTTTTTTTTTGCTTTCTTGCTGATTTCAAGAAGGAATTCATGCGGGGATTTAACTAACATTTGTTATACACATTAAGAGAAGAAAAATTAGGTTGTTCGCTAAAGATAATCTTGAATTTCACTTATAATAACCTGGAGGTAGTCAACTGTGGAACTGTGCTTTTTCCTGCGGAACATGTAATTGAATGTACCTGTCATAGAATAATTTTCAACCTCTCCTGAGGGAAGAAGCATAGTGGGAATTTAATAGAACATTTAATATGAAATATAACCCAGTATCTAAGACATTTGCTGTATTTTTGTTAATGAGAACATAATGCACTGAGAATATAACAAGGCACATGGTAAACTTCTAATAACTAAAGTAATAGTTACCACCAACAACAACCAAAAAATAATCAAGAAACATCTCATTATCAAAATTTATACATATATTATACGTGAAATGCAGTGTCAGAATAACGTGATAAAGTGTGCACCAAAAAGTATAGGAATAGCAATAGTTGGCTGACTGCATAAGTAGTAAATAGTCAGTTAGCTAGAGACTGTCTTTTTCTTTATATGCCCTAGTACACAATTACAAAAGTGATGTCTGTTCTTGCTTCTTACCTTTGAGATCTTCACTTCACAAATTTTTGGTGTTCTCTGAACAACGCTCATGTGCCCAGCTTTAAAAAAAAAAACACAACAAATTCTGTCATGAGGTACCATGCTGATACTTATATTGTTATCATCATGACTGAAAAATTTATAGCTACTTCAGCATTTGAAAGAACACAGTAAGTGATTAAAATAGCTCTCATTCTCCATGCTGACTAGCAGCAGAAAATGAATAACTCACCTTCCTAATTTCTTTCACCTGCAGCTTTCTCCCATGTTCTGTTATGACCTCAAATATTTTCTCACTCTCCTTCCACTTTCTTTAGGGAAATCTTAATCATATCCATGTCCACTCTTTTTCTTTACTTTATACTTTTTCCTTTCACAAATTTCTCTTCTCTATAGAAAGTCCCTTAATTTTTTGTCTCAGATTCAGTTTTCTGGCACATAAAAATGGTGTAACTGGCGAAGATTTTTTTCAGTTAGGACATTAATAACACTTCTCTCATAAGGATACTCTGGGTTCTAATAAATGCTTTTCACACATGCTATTAGTGTTTGTGTAAATTCATGACATTCCTAGATGTTAATCTCAGGTCATTGTCCTTGTCATCTGTGGCTGAAGTGATTCAAAAAGTTACAAAAAAACGTTGGGGAAAAAGGTGAATATATTCACATGAGGTTTCATTTTGTTACAAAAAATTCTGTATCTACTGCCAGCTACCTCCACAGCTCTCATCAAAATCTCATCTAATTTTACTGAATTTTCTTTCTTCCAACGTTGTTAGAGACCTGATCTTCCTTATTCTGCTCCCATGCTTGGCTGAAACTACTTATGCAGCTCCCATGGTTTCTTCCTAATCAGCACTCAGAAGCAGTCTCCTGTCCTCACTTCTCCACATCAGCTGCATTTGACAACGTTATTTTCGATACATTAATTTTGCCTTTGTTACAATGATTTTTCCATATCAAGTACTTTAATCTTTTTCATCTTCCCCTATTTTACTAATGCTAGATGCCTATGGAGAATCTACAGTGACCTGACTTTCTCCTTCTCTTTTCTTTATACTTTCTCTGAATGATCTCACACAAAATGCACAAATTTATTCACTAGTTCTTTAGTCAAAAACTAAAAGGTTGGCCAAGCTATCCGATATCTCATTATGGATATCTATTCATCAACTTTAGTTTAGATGCAAACAGTTGTAAATAGATCTTAATTTTTGCTACCAAAATAAAACCAGTATCCTACTGTGGATCATAATCTTGGAGTCATATTGTAGGGCATCCTATGTAGACTGACCCAGCATTTTGCAAGTGTTTTCTCACACAAGCTCTCATTTTTGCTTCCCTTAAAAACTATATTTATGTTCTTCTCACAACTCCCTAAACCCTTGTTTCAGAACACTCTGGAAATACTGTCTATGTAGTACATCCCTTTGCCTCATTGCAGTCCTTCCCTGGCTTACCCTTCTTTATTGCATCAAGGAGTGACCCCTTATTCTCACTTAGCCTGCAACACCCAGTTCTTACTGAGAGGTAACCTTCTGATAAGTCTGTAATGCTATTCTCACACATACAACAGATTAACATAGAAGTACCATTGTGATTTCATTTGTGCTGTCCCTTCAATCTAGGATGAATTTCTCAGAAACATCTGTAAAGTAATCCAGTATCCTCTGTTGCATTCTCTTGTCATTCGGTTCTCTGCTCTGATATCTAGCAAGACCACTTTCTACCATGATAATGTTTATATTCAGGTATTGTCACACTTTTTCTTCCAGTTTCCTATGTTTGCATATATTTTTGTTGTCCTCTGTCATGTCACTTAGAGCTCATACAGCAAGGACTGTTTTTTTGTTCTGCATTTGTACAGTACCTCAAAGAATGGGCTCTCAGTCTAAGCCTAAGGTCCCAATGGCCTAAATTATTACTAACAACCACCAATTCCGTTTTCTAGCAGCAGAGAAACCAAAGATTTAGGAATCTCAGATCCCATTCCAGACTCCAGAATGGACCTGCTGCAATGAGCACTGAATTGCCTGTTCATTTTCCCCAGCTTCTGTCTACCTTTTCCCCTTCCCAGGAAATCAATTCTGATCATCCTGTTTCTCTTTGCCCAGAAAGTCCTGTCTCTTCCCAAGGAGGTCAAACAAGTCCCCGTTTCTTTACTTCCATGTACCAGTAAATGAAGTAGGTTTCACTAGAGGAGGATATCAGTATCTGAGACAAGAGAGGAAATGCAAACTTTTCAGTCAGACAGTTTTTCTCTGCACTTCCACCACCACTCTTTTTATTACATGACCAGTTATACCCACTAGAGGAAAATTAGGCATTACAAGTTGTCAAAGATACCATGAACTGAAAATAGTTAATTTATTTCATGCATACATACACATAATGTTTTTTATTTATCCCAAACACATTGTTCTAGTACATCTACCCATTTTTCTGTATCACTAGGCAAGACAAGTCTATATTATCTGCCCCTTCTCATTCATTATTATCACTAATAACTTGTACATATCATTCCCTTACACACTATGCAGAGTGGTGCTATTTATTCACCTTCTATACTAATGGCAGATGTGTATTTATTTTGCAAATTAAGTGTCTTTGAGGCCACTCTTCTTTTATTACTTTGGCACAGCTACTGGCACCAGGGAAAGAAAGTTGCCCAGAACTTAGTCAAGAACTACCAGTACATCATGAGTTAGTACACAAGGTGACTGCTGCTGACATTCAGATAATGCATGAGAACAGATAGACTAAACTTTCTCTGTATTCTGTTTCTATAAGCATGCAAGACTATAAAGTCTGAAAAAAGTCCACACATAAGTATTTTGTTGGTATGTAACAGGCTTGTCTCCCCTTTTCTAGAATGGATGACGCTGAAGCTTGTTTCATTCTGAGTAGCCGCTGTGAGGTGGACAGGACAGCAGCTGTAAGTTTTGAAGAAATAACTAAGAATGAATATATATGCTGTTTATACTATTACTGTCCTTATTCTTTCCCTGGGACTGTGACTTCTGTGAACAGAAGATTAAAATAGCTGATTTCCACACAGATTTTACACGTGGGATGAAATTCTTGTCTCGGTTAAGATAATGAAAAAGTTTCTATTGGATTCTATAAGGCCAGGATTTCAAAAATTCATGAAACATGATCTTATGGCTCATTTCACATAACATATCTACTTCTGCTTTGTCAGAAAATAAATTATATGACCTACCTACCTAAGAAGTTAAGGTTTTACTGCACATTTTAGTTATACATTGAACTTATTTTTCAAAAAAGTAAGAATTTATACATTCTTAAAGGACTTGAAAAATCTTTTTAACATTACTGTAAGAGTACAGTACTTTCAAAAAACAATTTTCATGCTGAATCAAGTAAATTTTTAAGAGTTCTCTCCTTTTTTATGGAACAATGGCAGGATATCATATAAGCATTATCACGGCACCATAAAGATATATTGATACTTGGTCATTAATAACTCCAAAGGGTAGTACTCTGCCAAAAAAGTTTTCTTCAAATTACCTTGATTAATATCAGTTTGCTCTAGATATACAATTCAAAGAGTTATATTTATTAAATCAGAAAAGAGATATATATCAACTGACTGGTATTTCAGTTCAGAACTACTGAAATATTGAAAGTTTAATTTCTGACTAATACCAAATAACTGATATATCTGAGAATATTTGACCACCTTTCATACTGGCCAATTTTAAATGTGAAAAATGGCAAAATTCTTTAAATAAGTTACTATGGTTTTGCCCATGCTTGCTAGTCAGGTAAGATACAAAAGAAGACTGATAATACAAGCCTCTACTCAGCGTATCTGTGATAAAAGAAAAAAACCTATTTTAATACGAACTAGAACTCTTCAGACTAACTTACTGATCACAAATATCCAGGAAATAAGTCCACTGAGGAAGGATTTATGAACATAACTTTAAATCTTTCACCATGAGCTGCATGCTATATTTTTGCACGCTTGCCTCTATACACTTCAATCTTGAACTCCAAAGGAAGATCAGAATAAGTCTGAATATTCACAGAGTTATATTAAGATGCTTAGAAATTGCCTAAGAAGATCAAACTAGTTTTTATAATTCAGTAATTAATTGCAAGCTATCTCAATTAAAAAATGCTGTTGTGCTGCTATGTTAGAAGAAATAGTAATTATTTTTCTGAATATTAAAAAAAAGATACAGTAAAACATGGGAAACAAGGGCTTTGCATTATATATGTAGTATTTCTTAATATATTCTCTGTCACTTGCTACAATTACTTCATCTGCCATCAAAACTTAGTTGTTTCCGTACCTACACATATGGCTTATCAGAGAAGGAAGAACAAAAAAAAGGAACATAAGCTGCATCTAGCAAGAAAAAAGAAATGAGCCCCCACAAGCAAATTTTATCCAAAATAACTTAATTTTTTGTAGATGTCAGCATGCTGTAAATATATTTTGTTCAAAGTGAAAGTCCCTGTGCTGGACTTGCAGAAAGCCACTGAACTCCCTGAGAAATAAATCTGTGCTCTTACTATAATATTAAAACTTAGTGAACAAAGAGCATTGAATTTCATTAATCAGCAGTAGACTCTTGAAAACACGCTTGCAAAAGGTGCTGAATTAGCAGCAAATAATCCTGGCATAGTCAAGTAAGACAAGCATATACTGTTTGGAAGTAACAGAGGTGCTAGGTTATTTAAGGATATGAAAAGCAACAGTTTTTGTAAATACCTCGAAAAATACTGGCAACTTCCGTGAGACTGAAAAATACCAAAAGCCAAACTACCTTGCCTAAATTAGCCATGAAGTTCACAATAAATCAGCTACAACATCTCATTTCAAAAAATACACTTGACAGTTGTGAAATGGTTAGAAATGAGAAATGCCGTACAAGCAGAGTATGTGATTTACATTGCACTTAGTAGGTTTTTGCATCTTTAAGGACAGCTGCACCAACACAGGATTCTCTTAGGGAAGCTGTTCACCTCTGCCAATAACCTCTCCAGAATTTATACAAAGAAAGGGCAGTTTTCAGCTCTGCAGAACTCTTACATGGGGCAGACAGTGGACTCTACATGGACATCATGGAGCTTCCACCCATTCTGGCCAGCACTGCCTAGTTTTGGTTTCAGAGTGGTAGCCAGCTACCACTCTCTCCAGGCGGTCTTTCTGCCTTCAGGAACAGTGTGCCCCAAGAATTTCCACAATGGTACCTGGCACATTTCAGTTTGCAGTACAGGCTACTATCAAATCTCATTTATCATTGTATCTGGAGCGTACAAACAGACAAATCTCAAAGAAACAATCCTATTACCTTCCTCTGAGACAGAATGCCCTGTTGGCTGACTGGCTGGCTAGTCATAATGGCGCAGTATCTCAACTGTAGCAGTGATACCCTGAGGATCAATGTCATCTAAAGTTTTTAAACAAGGTGTTACCTTATTCTGTTTTTTTTGTTTAGATTTCCTTTTCACAGGAAATGCTATTATTTATACTGCAAGTAAAAAATAGGATGTCTTTTTTTTAAAAAAAAAAATTATTTTGTTTTATTTTACCGCCCCCTAGAGCTCTGAAATGAAATGGATTTGATTTCTTAAACCTTTCTAGTTCTTGTCACAACTAAGAACTTCAGTAGTGTAGTACGTAAGTTTAGAGTTTGGGCTGAAAGAAGTTCAGTTGTCATCTCAGTATCAATCTTTATAACTGCAGCTGATTTTTCACCCTGCTGTGCTTGAGAAGATGACAAACTGTTAGGAGTGCCTTGGATCCTCTGCTTTGTCTGATGGCTGTCAAAATAAAAGTTAACAGTGCCTTGATGAGATTCCCGATCAAAACAGGTGTTACTACTCATGTGATTTATCAAAGTCCATGAGGGTTTTTATCTCCCCAGCTACAGTCCTTAGCAGAGGATCCACTCATATGCCGTGGATACCACTGGCTGTTCATTGCTTGCTGTTTTGTTAGTTAGTAAGTTTTAGTGCCAAAGTCTGTGTTGCTTCTGATCCATAAATCTCAACTGTAGCCCAAAAGAAAAGTACAATAACAGGTGATATGCAGTTACTTCATAAAAATTGTCAGTTACTTCCTTTTCACTTGGAGGAATTGGGACTTCAACAGTCAGACCAAGAATTTGTCAGCTTTCTAAAGTCTCCTACCAGAAACTTTCTCTTCTCTGGCAAGACAAAGTTCTGCCAAATTTTATTCTATCAAATGCTATTTTGACATCTCAGACCAAGATGTAAGCTGCTCATCTGCTAAAGCAAGCAGGACAGACATCTGTTTCACTTCTGGAGGATGCAAGTCTTAAAGAGAGTTCAAATTGCACTTAAGTCTGGATGACATACATTTTTTTTGATTGGTGGGTATACAAAAGTAGTCTGCGCCACACCACAAAGTTCGCCAGTGACTTCATTGGGCTACCTCCATCAAATTGCTCCACAAAAATAAGGTGTGTGAAAACAGTGCATCTGCTGTTTTACCTCAAGGAATGGTGGCAAGAGAAGTCTCTTTTGATTTATCCTATAGATAACTCATTAATAGGCTATATAAAAATATGAAAGACTACTTCTACTGCTGAAATCTTTGTTCTGTTGCTTACTGAAAATTCAGAGATGGTTGAGTTCAAGCTTGCACCTTTCCCCCACCCCCTTCTGTTAATCAAATTGCATAACACTACTATACTGGTAATAAGTTACACTAGCATCACAAGATGGATGCATTGCATAGGAGATACAACTAATTTATCAAGTCGTGTGTGGCAAGAAAAAAATTAAATTAATAGAATTATTTTAAAATACATATTAAATCAAGGTCTTTGAATTCTGATCATTTAAATTCCTGTTACACCCACCTTAAAACTCACAGCTTTTGATACATGAATTTAAATATCACCTGTATATTAATCACCATTGGTATCAGTGGTAATTTTCGATCACTGACTACAATTCATTGCATGGAAAGCACACAGAAGAGAATATTTTTTCCCCTCATCTCCCAAAGAAGTATATATTTTATAATATTAAGAGTAGCACGATTTTGTGTTAGTTATCTCTGTTTATAGTATGTACATATATACCTCCTTTTCACTTGGGATAAATGTGAACATTTTTTAAAGACACTACAATACAGTATAGCAATTGGTACATATGTAAAATAGATACCCACCAATATTGTATGAAGAGACTGAATCTAAGAAATCACTTTAAGTGCCTACCTGTATTCTCATTTCTCTCCCCTGGAGTGCTTCTCCAGAGCGTCATTCGGAGACTAACTGAGCGAAAAAACCATAGAAACCCATATAACCAGCTTTTGTACACAAACACATGTATATGGCAAGTGAAAGGAGAGAAAATGAAACAATAATGCAAAGTAATTATATTAACAGAACCTACACACTGAGTTGATCCCATATATATATGAGATCATATATAGTTGAAGCTATATATAGGGCATTTAAGTATCTATTTTGCATATATGTTTATAGACTGCTTCTTCAAAAAAGAGCTATCAAATTGAAAACAATATATACTTTGCAGTTTTAAAACGGTAAATGTGCCAAATAATCAAAAGATTTTAATTTCAAAGAGTCTTTCCCTTTTGTATACAAAAAATTCATACTTGTAGTTTTACAATACTTACTTCTATGGGTCTAGGTTTGTTTGGCTTTTTTAATAAAATGGTGTCATTTTAATAATTTTAATAAACATTCCTCATTCTTAAGAATTCTTAAACCTTCTGACAAAATCAGGCTTTCAAGACAAAATAATTTAAAAATAATCAAAGAAAATATCCAACATTGAAAAAAAAAAAGAGGAAGACTAAACTTAGTCTGAAATGTACACCAAAATTGTATTTACTGCTATAGTTTTGGTTTATTACAGTAGATTTACTCTTAGCTCATTTATGTAATGAGAATGAAAAAAATAATTCACTTAAGTTTCATTGAATATAAGCTATATTTCTATGCATGTAGCATAAAGGAAACAGCCTTTTCTCACTGCTTTTGCAAGCCAGTGTGGTCTGTGAATGATTGCTATGGAAAGGAAGAGGGGAAACTGGTCACGTCAAACCCTGTGCAATGAAGCCTCACTGCAAGTGAGATTGAGTTTCTCTGAATGAGTTTCCCTGACACCTTTTGCATAAAAGGGTCAGGTAACATCTTCAGCAGCACAGGTTTTTGAAATCTGTCCCAAATGCACTCCCAAACTCTTATTCCTTCTATAGTATATCTGTATGTCATCGTCTATCCTATTACGAGCCATTTGCTATTTCTAAGGTGTGTTGACATTTCATTCCCTTAAGACAAAACAGCAAAAAACCCTAACTACAAAAAAAAAAACAACCTATGGAGGATCAGTCACAGCGTGCTATAGGAATAGTGACTGCATGTAAGCAAAGCAGGGTACATCCAAGTTCTGAAATCTCCTGAATGGGCACAGCAATCCTACATTTATGAAACTGTGTATAAGAAAAATGTGAAATAATGTATTTTTATCATCCTCAAAAGGTCTTCCTCTTATGACTCCATTCTCGTATTTCTGGTAAAAAAGTACTTGCTAACATCTCAATTGACATTAAAATATTATGGTTTGAAAATGTCAATTACGCTCTGTTCCAGGCAGAGATTTTCCCTTGTGTTCATAAGTCTGAAAGCTTTTCTTATTGCTGATGCTGCAAACATAATGAATCATTCTTTATATTTCATCTTTTAATACCAGCAATTTCATGACTAGGCAAGGCATTTCAACCCAAGTATTGCTTCCTACATGCAGCTCTCAAATACTCCTTTTTTGTTCTGAAGTAAATAAAAACTGACGGCTGATACACTGAAATTAGACATATTTAATGGATGAAATATATGAATGTATTATCTCATACTTTACTTTCATGGGACAGCAGTATTCATCCTGTGGTTAACTCGCTCTTGATATGTGGTAACAAGTACAAAAACTAACAGGCTGGGAAATGTCTTGGAATCCTTTTGTTAGTAAATGGCGAAATTCTGACATAAGTTATGTAGAAGCTTTAGTTGCACAAAAATGTAAGTCTGTGTTAAATTGAGCTGATATTTTTTAGAATTATTCAAAATTTTAAGCTCTTAATACCTGATATCCTCATTTAATGTTATTTAAATTCTGCGTCTCTTTGGAAGGACATACCTAATACATCATTCTTGGTTAACTAGACATGACTCATCACTACCATCTAAGTTTTCACACAATTCTTCCAAATGCCACCCCTACCAAATTGGATGATCCCCAACACCTGCAGAAAGATAGGAGAGGGACAAAATATGTTATTAGTAAATTTCTGGAAACAACCCCTCTAATCTGCATTCCAACAAATAGAATACATGATACTAGGATCACAAGACAATGGAGGTTGGAAAGAAGCTCAGGAGGTCTCTAGTCTGACGGGGCAGTTGTGAACGCAGACCACATTGCTCAGGGCTTTATCTAGGTTGGTGTGGAAAGCGTCCAAGGGTGGTGACAGCACAGCCTTTCTGCACAACCTCTTCCACTGCCTGACTGCCTTCAAGGGGAAAAGAGTGCTTATATGCAGCCTGAATCTCTCTTTTCAACTTAGGTCCATTGTCTCTTGTCTTCCAACCATGCACCACTATGCAGAGCCTGGCTCCATCTGCTCAATAACTGTCCTGTAGGACAGTCATGGATAAAGATATTTAAGAGAACAGGCTCCAATGTGGATCGCTGTGACACTCTGCTTGCCCCAGGGCTCTAGGTAGAGAGACCATTTACGATTGCCCTAAGGCTCCAGTCATCTAACCAGCATTTTACCCGTGTAGTTTTCCACTCATCCAGACTGTAATATCTGAACATGGAAATGAGAATGCTGTCTGAGACACAGCGTTCATCTGCCCCAAGGTATAGCTCTCCAGTTTGAAGACTGGTGAAACTATCAAATTTTCTGCAAATGTTGGAAACCTCCCCCAGTCTCCACAACCTTTCAAAGATAAAAAAGCAACTGTAGAAGGACATTGGCCTTCTCTCTCTGCACCCATCTGATCCTTTAGGCTTGTATGGGTTGAGTTCTCTGGAGTAATCCCTGTCTAAAATCAGCCACTGCTGGTGATTCTCCTTTTTGAAGCCTGCCTCAAAGCAGAGGCTTGAGAGACCTTGTTTGTGAACACTCAGAGACTCTCAGCCTTGTCTGTGTCTGCAGAATTATGGATTATCTGAGAATATGTATATATATTTATGTATTTAAACACATGTAATATACATAATACATAGTATTACTTAACATGTATGTAAACGTCCACAACAGCTGGTGTTACATAGTCTTAAAATTAGTTGTCTTCAATGGAATCAGTCTGATAAGAGGTTCTTTTTCTTATGCAACATAATTATCTGTATTTCATTTTCATCACCTCACACTCTTTATTCTAGGATCATCAAACCATTTTAAGAGCGTGGGCAGTTAAAGACTTTGCTCCAAATTGTCCTTTGTATGTCCAAATACTGAAACCCGAGAACAAATTCCACATCAAGTTTGCAGGTAAGTGTAAGATTTCAGCCATTTGAAACACTTGGTGGGATTTAGCAGTTTGTTTCATAAACACACAAGTAAAGTGAGTTTCCCTAGGCATATTTACTGGTTAGAAGCAGATTAAGAGTGCAGTATCGTAAAATAGCATGGGCTGCATATATCCTATCAATAGTAAAATTTCATGGTTTACATTAAAGTCTTATTCATAAGCACTTTTAAGGATAATTACTTTTTTATATTACATAATATGCAGAATAGAATTATTTGATACATAACACATTGTTGCTCCTTAATTATAGATCCAGGCAGGTTTCCAGCTTGCTATATCCATGTCCTTAAATTGTCTCTGCCTAGTATAAGGGGTATATGCAAAGATCTGCTCAGAAAAGGCCAAATTTTATCCAAGAAACAATTGAAAATTGACCAGGGTTTTTTTAAGTGGTATGAAAAACATTATTTTAATTATTTTCAAATATTTTGGAAAGAAATATATAATTTCATTCTATATCCAGTAAAACACGTCTTAGAATTTATGACATAAAATGTAAAATTACCTTAAGAAATCCAGAGAAATCTTCTCATATAAGAAGGGGTTACCAGCTTTAATTTGACAGACTGTTTCTCTGCACTGTGTAGGTAGGTGTCTCTCTCTATATATATAATAAACACACACTTACATACATATATATACAGAGAAGTATATATATGCATATATGCAAAACCATGCAAATACTTTTATAATGAACTCATTTTGCCTGTCATTGGGAAAATATCTCTGAAGTGGAAGCAATGCTTTCCTTTTTAACTGTAATTTTGAAAATTCAATTTTCTTGAAGGATATTCTAAGGAAGAAAAGATTGCTGACTCACACAATATTAAAAAAAAAAACTCTATGGAAAGATATTAGTTTCCTCTGTCATCCCAGAATGCAATGAAAAAGTAAATTCCAGTGCAGAACAATTCCAGAGCAACAGTTAAAGCTGTAATTTTAAAAGCTACTGAATTCACCACTAGGTTCCAAACAAGGAAAAAAGCATCTATAACAGTTCTGAAGTTATAAAAGCGTAATCTCAAACTGTGAGATGGCACAGCATGGAATAAGACTCCTGCTGTGACAAGAATGATGGTGCTTTTTCATCTCCTCCTTAAAACCATACAGCACAAACATAATCTCTTCTCCATAGCCATGGCCACTTTTCTTTTTCGGTAACTGTGTTAATTTGTTGCTTCTAATTGTATTTTTAAGAGAGTTTCATTATTCTTAATGGCTTGTCTCTGTAGGAGCTTATATATAACTAGATTCAGAAAACAGAGGTAATTTTTCATACAAGTTCTAAGTCTTAGATTGAGAATTCAGACCTTTTTTTTAAAGCAAAAAACCCCAACAAAACTCCCCCTCTTTTTGTATTTCCTTCAACTGAGTTTAGCCAATCTGGGATTTTACTGCCTTCATTTATGTTCTGTAGTTCTTCCAGGGCTTGAGGAGATGTTATATATTCTGTGCCTCATTAACCCCCTCTAATATTAATTATAGTAGTACTTTATTGAAAGTCTAAATATTTATATAGCACCTTACATCCAAATGAATTTCACATTTATCATAGGGATCACTGCATCCATTTCCACACACTCTCTCTGCACAACAGTAAGAGCAGGGAATTGCAAGCCTTCCTTCAAGATTAATTTAATCTTACTCATATAAAGCACAGGAAATTTAGGAAATTTTTAATGCAGATGTAAATTCAGCAAGGTTATGAACATGGGATAAGCATCACCACTGGATGCTTACCTACTGCATATGGTTAGGCCACTGATAGAGTCATGAGAACAACATCCGTTGGCATACATTTTCCTACGAGTACACTACTTTGGTCATTAATCTCATTCAATGCTTCTTCATTCTGAAATATGTACCCAGTGGGGGCTGCAGACTATAGCCCTATCCAGAGTGCTTACGAATAAAGTCTGTCATAACCATGTGGAACCTTTTTCTAAGTGCTTTTGCTATTATTATTCAGGACTGCTTTATTACTGCTATAATCCAAAAGCTTCTTTTAAATTTGATATTCCTTTAAAAAATGACTCCTTTCTTCTGTAGTTTTCCCCCAAAATACTGTGCATTTTTATGAACCTGAAATATTCAGTAATAGGATTTCTTTTTCTTTTTTTTTTTTTTTTTTTTTTTTTACACACAGGTTTAGAGAATGTAACTGTCAAAAAGAAAGTTTCTGAATTTAGAAAAAATACAACCAAAGAGTTCTAGAATCCCTTCTAACAAAAGCGTAACTTTTAACTGCATTGAAAATTTATAAAACACTAGAAACCCAGTTTCTCGGCATCTTATATTAGGATGACCAACCCTAGGTAGCATGAGACGGTCCTGAAATTTAGACCATTACTGCATTTTCCTGTAGAATAGCATCCTGAAGATTTTCTGCCTTAGGCTTCATAAACAGTATATAGGCAAGAATTTGTTACTATTTATTCCCATCTAGTAGACAAGACTTTTACATTCTTCCTCTCTTTAATGAGAGTACAAGAACTCACAGCAGGAGAATGGAGACTGCGCAGGGCAATATGGCCTGTCAGACAGACATGTTTCCTCTCTTTTCACCCTTGCATCCTGCCTTTTCTTTGTTATTTTTCACAATGGAGTTTAACTACTTCCTTTGTTTAAAACGGTAACTAATGGTTGTATTAATACAGTGGAAATATTTATCTGTGCTTGAATATGATTCTTCAGCGGAATCTGAAAATCACAGAGCGTGTTTGTCCCAGCAAACTCCTTTGCAAGTTCAAGATGTGAACATTTTATAAATACACAGTCAGTCTAATGTGACAGTTATCAGATGGGTAAGGAAACACTGTATCACCATTGTTAACTGTCTTATGTCTTAAGCTGAAATGCTTTGATTACTCCTTAGTACTTTACAATATACAAATGCCTTGACATGCCCAGTTTTTCTTTTGCTAATACTACATTTTCCTTTGCTGGCACTTACATAATGGTTTTCTTAACCTTTTTGCTTTTCCTTCAAATGGATGGGGCTACAAAAGGACCTGTACCCTTAACGCTTGCATCTGGCCTTGCATTTCCACACAAACATGAGGTAGAGTGAAGATTGTCCACAGCAGAGCAATATATTTAAGCAATCCAGAGACTGGAGAAATCTCCGTATTTTCTTAGTTGAACTTATAACTTTTATATATTTGCTAGAAAATAAATTAGTTGCTTTACCTTGATTATTCAGGAATTATGTATAATCACAGTTCCAGGAAATGGGGATACATTTTGACATTTTCTATTTATTCAAAATGCACCAATGAATTAGCACAGATTGGTGAAGTATGACATTAAACCTTCAATAGTTTATTCAAAAGGAACATAGTCCAGCTTCCCCGAAATGGGTATTGAATGCATCTGATGATTAATCTATCCAATTACGGATAAAAATAGTCTAGAGATAATGGATGGGCATTTTTGCCTATCTGGTCTGGTGGTGATCATGTTAACTTATCAAATTGAAAAAAGTAAGGTTTCTCAAAATAATTGTGTCAGGCCTAGGACATTCTTACCACGTGGCTGATACTGCAGGCATAAATTAGTCTTTTGAGCATGTTTTATATTCAGAAACATTACAGAAGTCATAAGTCACTGCACTGCATTACTACTTCTATTTGAGACAGACTTGGCAACAAATTTTCTGTCTAAATATATTTTCAACAGAAACTATGGCTTCTGGAAATTCTAAATGGAATATTTCTTTAGTATAAATGCAATCAAAACACTTCTGTTTGCTATAATGATTTGACATATTTAATATTCAGCTCAAGATAAACTGCAATTTCCTCTGTTGCTTCACTGCCACACTGAATGAGTAATTTGCTGATTCTAGTAGCTGCTGTCACGGGACCTGACTGATGTCCCAAACCTGAGGAGTGGGAGAGCTGTCACCCAGCTTCCTTCCTACTCCCTTTAGAAGAGAAAGTATCAAGTAAATGTCTCTCATTACCCTCAGCACATCTCCACAATAAGAGTTCTGAACATAAATATAAACCACGACGACGTTATAGGTAAACTACAATCTGTCTAATCATTGGAGAAATGAGCAAGTTATCTTGATCTGTGTTTAATACAAGAGCTTAACTCCAGCCAAGAGCAGAAACCCATGGTACCTCTCCTTATGTTTCAAATGGCTACAATATTTCTGATCATGGTGATTAGTTCACCAAAGAGTCTTTCACCTGGTGTTCTCAAAGTAACTCTGAGAATTCAAAAGCTTCAGAACACTTCTGCAGTAGGTAGGGCATTATTTTAATATATCCATTTTACAGACACGTAAGAAGTCATGAAGGGCACAAACAGCTCACACAAAAAAATCAGTCTACAATAGGAGTGGAAATAGCCCTATGAGTCCCAGCTTCATGGCTCCTGATGTAAAAACACTTGACAACAAAATGTGAATCTCTTACACATGTGAGATTAAGATGACTGTTGTAGGATAGTAATCTCTGTTTGTTGTATGCTATATTCTCTGTTAACATGTTATTTTACATAAAATCCATCCAAGAAGTCCCTTATATAGAGTTTGGAGTAGAGTATACTCTATACTAGAGTATAGAGCATATGGAGGATTTAAGTCTGAGATATACTTTTCATTTGCATTGTGCCATCCATGATTTATTAATTGTCATGTATATACATTTAGGTCAGAATATACAGTTTGCTTCAATTTCAAGATCTGTAGTAACAGATGATGAAATATTTTTCCTGTATATTTTTTCTTGCTCCTATTTTCAAATGTATTAGCTATAATATAACAACATCCTAAACAAAAAACAAGGGAAGGTTATTTGGCAAAATCCTAGAAAAATGCAAAGATATGGAGAATTCTCATTCCTTCAATATCAGGAAGTCAGTACTCACTTCCATAAATCTTTGCCATCTGACTAGTGGCAATGGAATGCAGATATTCCATTCAAGCAGTAGACTATGCCTTATTCTCTCAAAATCTCTGGTTTAAAATTTAAGTAGATTTATTAATGGCACATGGTCAACTAAAAGAACAGATTTCTGTCTGAAGTATTTTCTGCAGGAAATATTTAATTGCTGTAACTGAAATATTTGGGGAAGAAAAATCTCATTTTCTTCTATATTTGACAGTGTCTTTATATAACTAAATTCCTTCCTTCCCTGTGACATTTAAACAGGCCTTGATCTTCAGAAAATAAGAGAATGAATTTCTCCTTTCAGTAGTCAATGATTCTGTTACTGAAAAGTCTCTAGAAATTTTACAAAAAGGAATAGAGAAGGCGTTCAAAGTATGCCCTCACTTTTGTTTTCACTAAGTGGTACGCTTATAGCTATACTATAAATTCTGGCTAGAAAGTAACTTAGTTAGAAAGGTAAGGTGTTTCTAAGAATTTCAATAATACATTATTGCAACTAGAAGAAGAGGTATGTAGACAGCTTAGTTCTAGGTAGGGAGGTTATTTGCTTACTTTTAATCAGCAATTTTCATATGCCTTATGTTTTGATCAACAGCAGTATGACTTTTATTATTCCTTCTCATTAGAAGCAAATTCTGCTCCAATTGAAAGTAATTTAAACTAAATAAACTGTTAAATTCAGAAGAAGAAAAATGTACTTAGCATGCAATAAATGCCTTCATGATCGTAGAAAACCTTTATGACTTTAAGTTCCTACACTGACAAAAAGTTTCATCAAGTTGAAAGTTTCACACTCATCCCTTTGTATATCTATTTTAATACTGTCAGGTATACATTTAATGACATTAAAGAGTAATTCCTAGTTTGTTTTTGTGCCATCATCAGCACTTGAGAGCATTTAACTGTGATCTGAACTTTAAGCACTAGCCATCTAAGTTGAATTCATACAATACTGAAAGCGCGTGCAGAATATTTGGCAGTCTTAATTATAAGCCAATATAGAGGACTAGATATAATGCCTCTGTTGCTTTCCCTCCCCTAAATTCCATTAAAAGACAGAAAAATACAGGTACATCTATAGTACTGGTCTGTTCCAGTGAGTACTAATGTCCAAACATTCTTGTAAGGACTCTAAAAAGCAAAGCACAATTTTGTGATTACAAAAGCCAGACAAGGACTAGGGTAAAAAGTATGCAAAGTTATAAAAAACTGCAAAACAAAAAACGACCACCCCACTTTCCTAGATTGCAAGGAGGTAGCAGGTGTTAGCAGTTCCTGGGGGAGATATTAGTCAAATCTACAACACACTCCGAATCCCAGAGCCACTGCCAGTTAACCAGTTTGCAAGCCAGTGCTGTCTAACTGCTCAGCACTCCTGCATTGCAGTATTTTAGGTATGCTATTTTCTGAACACAGCACTGTATCTCTGTAAAATGCTTGATGTCTCTATACTGGTTTATGCAAAACTGCAGAAAGTGCAAAAGATACAAACTAGACTAAGCTGCATGGCTTATTCATACAACTAGCACAGCAAAATAGTGGAAGTGGATTTCACAGAGTCTTTACAACCTCTCCATGTGTAGCTGCATCACAGAAAGTATGAACTGGATGCAAAATTAACTCTACTCCTGCAATCTGAGAGGTAGCATAGATGGGGCAAATCATACACAGCTGCTCTCCAGGTCCAAGTGGAAGAAGATCAAGAGGCAAATTTTGATTGCCCCTATCTTCACCATTTTCCTAGGCAAGGAAAGGAAGTGATAATTCTATTCAATTGAAAGTATTTTTGTAACAAAAAAAAAAATCTTTTTTTTTTTTCTTACAGATCATGTTGTGTGTGAAGAGGAATTCAAATATGCTATGCTAGCTCTGAATTGTATATGCCCAGCTACCTCTACATTAATCACACTGCTGGTTCATACATCTAGGGGACAGTAAGTATATACTACCCAAAAAAAACCCAACAAACTTTCTTTGGAAAATAGTTTACCCTAAATTCCCAGACAATTATTTTTTAAAACAAGTTTTTAAAATAAATTGGAACTTTCTGCAGAATATAAACATCAAGATGTTTTACTCAAGATTTTATAATTTCAAAAAAAAACATCTCCCCCAGTATTTAACAATTTTTTGCCCGCTGTTGTGCCACTTCACAGTAGAAGATATGAAAAATTTGCATTTCCAATTTAGTAGGTTGAATCGTGGATCTATCACACAGTTCTACTTAAGAAAACCAAGACCCAAGAATACCTATTTTAATGTTAATTTGAAGGTCTGGTTTTGTACCCATATAAAAATTCCTATTCATTGAGCTCCAAGAATGTTTTTCTGGTAACATATTAAATGTTATTTGCTATTCAGTGCCTGTACATTAAGAAGGAAGCAAACATAAATATGAAGAGATGGTTTTTAACATAATAACCATGCTGCTGGAAGGGGTACAGAACTATGGTGTCTTTACAGACTGCATATACACGGTAGAATTTCTCTATAATTTTACCACATCTAGTGTATCTCTGTTATGTTATATTCCTGGAATAATAACATATTCTTATCAAAATATTGTGGGCGGAGAGAGGCATTGAAGAGTAAATCTCCAAATATATCTGTAGAAATGAAATATGTGCATATACACTGCACAAGAATACTTTTAAGAGTCTAGTAAAAAACATACTTTTTTTCAAGTAACCATGGACCCAGTAATATCTTGATATTTACAAGCAGAGCTATTTAACCTTCTCTATGGCATTTGTAGTATTCCCCTGTACCCAGGATGGGGAAAACTGCAATTACTGCTAGAACTTTTACTACCAAGAACAACAAATGTCAAGATTTTAATGGCACTGTCTGTACTAGAATCTGCTAGAAAGAAGACAACAAAATACTGTTTCCATGCCTCCTGAGAATCATGGTGAAATACATTCTTCATCTGCTTAGCTTTCATTATCTCACATGCACAGAATACAGAGCCTTTTTTAATTATTTCCTATTATATGTAAATGAAAGAATAATATTCTTAGCAGCTACCAGAGAGTTTTCCATCAGCACAAAAACAGACATATGAAAGGGACTCTGTTTTCTGCTGTATTTAAGAAGTTAACATTTCATTTTTAATACAGGCATATTGATCATTTATACAGATTCCCAACTATGATGCAAAGTAACTATTGTAGAATTTCTTTTGCAATCAGAATTAATTTATATTATCAGGATTTTTAAAGGAACTGATTTCTCATCTGATCATTGTATACCAGGAGCAAAAAATATTTTTTTGTACAATTAACTCTCAGCATTACTTTGAATGCTTCTTACAGAAACATTCAAGCTTGCTGCATGAATACAGAAAGACTGGAAAAGGGAAAATGTCTAGTTGTCATTCTTCTAAGTTTAGTCAGCACTCATCAGCGCATTTTATCTCAGATGAGCTCCAAAATACTGAAAAATGGCAAACTTTGGACATCTTACTTTGGAGCATGTGTTTAAAACACATGCTCCAAAGTTTAAATGCTGGACTAACTGGTTGAACAGATATGACTGTTCTTTAAAACCACAATATATCTGTGAAAGTCTAAAACAGAAAAATTGGAGAGAAAACACTTCAAAAATTATTTCAAATTTGAGTAGCCTTGATGTCACAGTGCTAAAAATAAAAACCTCAAAAAATCAAGTATTTCTTTTCCAAAATATCACTTTCTAAGATTTCAAAGTCAATATTTTTGCTTGATTTCTTTTTTCCTAAAAATTTACATAATTCCTAAATTGTGTGATTTTTCTTTTCCTTTTACTCCTTACAACTTTTTAAAATCCCATGGAAATGAGTTTAATTTCACTGCGATTTTAATTTTTCACTAAGTTTTGTACAAGTTAACAACTTGTATGATAAAGGCACTAACTCAAGTTATTAGTTAGGAAATAAGGACAAAGCCATCCTTTTTCTAGACTCCTCTGATCTTTTAAAAAAACACAGTGTGCTCTTAAAAATATTAAGTAATGATGCACTTGAGCTTAATTTTTGCTTATAACTGAGCGTTACATAAACCATGTTTAATCTCCAAGTTTTGTGTCCTTGAACATTTAGTTAAGATGGTCTTTAACATCTTTAACAATTGATTTTGAACAAGTATGCACTTCTTGAATATAATAGTGTAAATCCAAAGGACAGTAATCACAGATAATTAAAAAAATCATATAAAATATTTAAATATGTGAAAGTAATTTCTTTCCTGAAATACCACTTCAATGCCCCACTTTTATCTATCTTATACCTTTTTTACTGTTTTATTCATAATTTTATATGCAATATCATAATTTATTTAAACACTTGCTAACTAAAATAAACTCATAGCTAGATAACAGGTATAAATCTGATCTTTAGAAGTATTATACTTAAGTCAAGAAATTTATTTTCAAACTTTCTTATTGAGTATGCATTAATGCTTTATAGGAAAAATTCCCTTTAAACTTACAGTTTTTGTAACCATCTCCTGAGATTTGCACTGACTCCAGCGTGTTTGAAGAGCATTGGTAAAATGATGGTGATTCTGCACTTCAATGTCTTCAGGGGGAAATCTGTTTTCAAAACAGGTGTCAGTGTTAAGCTTCATCTACAGGTTTTCATTATATTGCAGACATAAAACTTCTTTGGATTTGATTAATTTATAAGTCAGAGTAATTGTTATGGCTTTTCTAGATATTTTCTAATGTTGAATAATAGGAAAATCAACTACTAATTTTTAAAATAGGTTAAATTAGCTTTATTTAGCCATATGAAAAATGAAGACAGATGAACATTTGAGTTTGGCTAAGTAAAAAGAATAAGCAAAACCAGATTTTTTTAAGCTACAAATAAAGATTTTAACTTTACATTCATCTATATCCAAACTAAATATTAAATTAGATCTAAATAATAAAGAATATTTGTTAAATAGACTTCCAATGTTAACAGTGAACTGCTTTCATTTACATTTGTTCCTGTTTAATTATCCTTTCATTATCCTGGTTACTACCAACACCTGCATTAAACTTTTATGTAGGACTTGAGTTTTAAATCCCTGTCAATGTTAATTTATATAAAAAGAGCAGACTTGGATTCTGGGGAGACTGTAATGAAGTAACTGCTTCCAGCCTTTGGTAATCTTTTTGAAGTCTATTCAAAGTCATTGGGAGGATTTTCTTAATAATTAGTTCAAGTTTTCATTCACAGAAGCCCCGTATCTGTTGATAGTTCAGTAACTTCAATATAGCAAGTAGGAGTATTCAAGTTGTTATCACAGATAACCAAGCTCCAATAAGTACCTATGCCTTTCCATTCCACAAGAAATGGCTCTTCTTTTTACACAGTATTTTATTTGCAACCAGAGGAGATTTTCAAGGAACTGACCAGAACATTTCTTGCTTTTTGTCATTTCCCTGGTAAAAAGTCATTCATTAAGGGTCATTCATTAAGGTAATTCATGACCACTTTGAAATTTTGCCTTCTTAACATTTGTTAATTTAGTGAAGTTATGATCTTAACCTAATTGACTTATATTTTGATAGAATTAAACAGTTCATTGACAGTTCATAGATTAAACATTGTCCCAGCTGTTTGCTGTAATCTTACAAATGAAGTGCTACCTATTTCACAGGGAATCTATTTCCTATTTTTATTAAGAAATAATGTGACTATTGTTAATAATACAAGCTGATTTCTGATAATCATGAGTACATCATAAGTACACTGGGAAACTGCTGGAAGTTGAAGTCAATTCATAGCAACAGAACACAGGAAAAATTATTATTATTTTCCTAATTTGATAGATAGATAATACAATGAACAGTAAACAAAAAGAAACACATGTACGTAAATTAAAAACACCTTATCTTTTGATACTAATATGTGAGGAGACTTGGGAAGTTGTTCATTTTCTAAGGAACTTTGGCCAGATTAACCTGCTATTAAAATTAAGTGAAAGTTTGCTTCCATTTATGTGAACTAGCTTTGGTCTTTAATGCTGTTTTTTGGATTAAACCGACTAGATGTAAATAATCACATTATCTTCTCAGCTGTTTATAGAATTCAAAACCTCAGTCTGTAAGACACCAAAATTCTACCTTGAATCTTATTTATTATTTTATTATTGATCTTAATTATTAATCCTAACATTTAAATGCCATCTAATTATCTAATCTAGTAATAGAATTTTATTAGGGTTTGTATTGGGATACAAAATATTGGAAGGAATTAGCCTGACTTGAACTTATTGTGATCTTTACAGAACAGCCCCATGGGAAGCTTTCAGACAACTAACTGGAACCAAGCAGACTTTAAACAGGTGAACATTTTATTTTATGGGGAAAAGTGAAATACCGAAAATTTTCATGTGTAATTAAATTTTTAGTTCTGCTATTCTACACCTAGTGCACAATTTAATACTTTTTATCGTTTATACTATTTATTATTTATACCTATTTCCATCTTGAAACAAAATGTTTCTATGCTGAGGGTAGAGAAAAATGGTAAATTCAAACAGAAATTGTGTTAAGATATTGCAAATGTATAAATGAGCATGTCCCAATATCTGGAGATCTTAACTTCAAATGGCAAGTCAGAGAGCACATTTGTCAGTTTTATGTTCTATATGCATATATAAAAATGTACATATATGCATCCATTATATATGCAGACAGAACCTTGTTTCCACGTGAAACTTAATAAACTAAGTTCATAGAAGCCCCAAGTCTGTGGTGTTACTGAGGTTTGGAACATTTCCACTAACAGTCTGTTTGGATAAAAAACTTTAGCTGCATATAGTAAAGGATGATAAGCTTAATATGGTTAAAGTAATAATTTATTTTCTTCCGCTAGAGAAAATAAGGTATATGCTTGTTATGGTATACAAGGCACAGTAACCAAAGATGTCCATAGAGTAAATGCTGAAGATAACCGATAAACAAATGCAGAAAAAAAATCTTTCTTACAGATAAAGTAACCAAAGCCAAATGGGTCTTTCCTACGTAAGTTATTTTCAACGATTCTTTATCTACTTCAAGCAGGAACCAGACAATCTGCCATGGAGCATCTGAAGAGTCTGCCTTTAGGAATAGAATGAGTATGCTGTTGGTTTCACCTGTCATCTTTAATTTTCAGTGAATCTACTCACTATGGTGTGAATTTAAAGTAATTTGGCTGTATCTCTCCTGATTTAAAAGTACATAATCTAATATGCCTATTACTTTGCAGAAAATGGTCTTTAATTCATTAAAATAATCTCTCTACTTACAGTATTACCAAGCTTTGATCTCAAATATTTCTTTCAGATTAGCCTATGGGACCTTTCTAATAACATTTGTGGTTTCTGTTGCCATGAAATACTGCTCTGATCAATAAGAATTTTACATTAAGTTTTAAATTATTCTTTTTATCTGTACATGTTTCAGGGAGAGTCAGCAATCATCGGAACAATGGCAAAAAATGTATGGGAGATGCTCTGGTAATGAAGTGTATCATATTAACCTGGAAGAAAGTACTTTTTTTGCTGAGTACGAGGGGAAAAGCTTCACATATGCTTCTTTCCATGCACATAAAAAGTATGTTTCTTTTCCTATCAACAATTAAAAGTTCAAAACAATAATTAATAGCTCTGCATTCAAGGTGTAATATTACACACTACTATGTTGCTGGGTTTAAATATCTGGCTGCTAATTTTTCTGTAAATTAAAGCTGGTCAGGTAAAAGCTCACGGAGGTTCTACATAGGCCAGATCATTCTGGGAGAATGGAATATAAAGGATATTTGGGATAAGCCTGACAACCAGAAAAAAACTGTACCTTAGAGAAGTTATATGAAAACACCAGTCCCTTTCCATATCCAAAACAATCTAGAAAGGGTAGGTGGGACGATGTTAGTGTATTTTTTTTATTATTTATTTAGGAGTCAGCTGGAAATCTGGCTTCCTTTGTGGAGTGTTTATTTTATGCAAAATGTTCAATTTAAAGGTGGTACATGCTACATTTTGGTGGCTGTTCAAAATAAAACCATATTTTTTCTGTTAGATGTTAACATACCTTTTTTAGGTTCCAGATCATACATCATTTGTTCAGTGCTGCTCTGTGAGGTGAATGTACAAACTGAACACAAATCATGTATATTCATATATATTTAACAAGATGGACATATATCAAACCCTGAACACTGAGTTTATTCTCAGATTTAGTAAGTGAGAGAAAGATTTTTTGGGGGGCTTATTTATTTATTCCTTATTTTCTATCACTAATCAAATACATTTCTAGAAATGAATTGCAAAAATGAATTCTGAAAATGGTTTCCATTACATATGAATTATGGAACAGTTTAACAAGATGAATACTTTTTCATATTATATATTATTATATATCCATTCTTCTACTAATATTTTCCCAGAAGGGACTATTCATCTGATAGAAAAAAGAATAATCAGCTGGAACAGCATTAGAAGAATAGGGATTTGTAAACTCATAAAATCTGCTTGATCAGAAGTGGCCTATTAAGAAGATAACATTTTTCAGACATATTTGTCATCCAAAAATCTGAAAAATATAACAATATACTCGAGGTTCATTTTTGACAGTGGAAATTCTAGTATATACAGGACTATGCAAAATGAACCATGCCTTTCCTTTTCTAATTAAGGTTTGGAGTCTGTCTGATTGGTGTTAGAAAGGAAGATAACAAAAACATTTTGCTGAATCCAGGTCCTCGATATATCATGAGTTCTACAGATATATGCTTTTATATAAATATCACCAAAGAAGAGAATTCTGCTTTTAAGAAGCAAGAAAAACATAGAAAAAAACATGAATCAAAGTTATCTTATCATGGAGCTTCTAGGTTACCTGTACACAGTATAATAGCCAGCATGGGTAAGTAAAAATAAACAACCTCACAGCATACTCTGATTCATTGAGTAGGGCATTTTAAAGGTTTTAACAGTGTATTCCTAAAATTTTAATTGAAATTAATGTATAAGAAATTGTAATAGTGTGTGGAAAGATAAAACATTACACACTTGTCCTTGTATTTTCAAAAAAAACACCAAACAAAAACAACGGAATTTGATTATGATATTTTTCTTTCACTTGATGATATGGAATTAAACTGCTTAGGAATGTTATATAAAAAAGTAATAATAAAATGTAGGCAAAGCAAAAGAACTGGGAAAATCATATGGGTAATTTCTTTGTCATTCATAGCTCATTGTTTGTAATAAGTTTTCATAACCTTTAAAAAAAGGCCCTTGCTCAATAAAAACCTACAGGCTTTTGATGCATGTAAATATAGATTAATTATATAAAGTACGATTTTGAAAAGGTAGTTATTAAGGAAATTATGTTAATGGTCAACAAAAGTGCTACTTTGAAGGAAAAGGCTTCCTCAGGTATAGTTTAAATATTTGTTATATTTTAATGTAATAAACACAATCAATATAGCAGTCCTTTCAGTCTTTGCCTGTTTAATCAGGTAATCCCCCCTAAATATGGGAATCTCATTTAAATGTTTTGACAACCACATTGAGAATATGCTTTCATGCTACTTCAGGGACAGTGGCTATTGATTTACAAGATACAGGATGCCGAACGTCTAGTGGACCTACACTAGCTCTTCCTTCTGAGGGAGGTAAAGGGGGCAGACGGCCCAGTATAGCACCCGTTTTGGAAGTTGCAGACTCATCCTCGCTTCAGACATGTGACCTGCTAAGTGACCAGTCAGAAGATGAAACTACCCCATCAGATGACGAAGTCTCTGCAGGCTTAGAGTACGTATATTAAATATAAAATAAACAATATAACTTGAAAAGATAAAATGTAAATAGCATGGATAATTTTTTGACATGCAGATCAGTCCAAGCAGTTGTAGCAAGCAAGACCCATAAAGGCCAACCATGGAATTATTCCCTTTTATGAAATGCTACTGTCTGTTATCAGAATGCTGTTACACCTATTTTGAAGTAAAATACCCCCACCAGACTAACTCCTCATTTGCTGGAGATTTCCTATAGTCAGTTATAAAGATCTAGTTTTGTATTGCAATTTTTTAAATTGCATTTTTATTACTGTTTTTCTTACATTCTATAGTTATAAAGACAGGACTCAATTAACTTGTAAACAGATAAGTACTTCTGTCCCAAGAATGCAGTGATAATCAGATCATTCAACAGGCTTGTTGAATGCTGGGATCAGGTGTCTGACTTCAAAATGTAGGAATGACAAAAAAAGCAGTATGAAACAAAATTATTACATCTAATTTAAAATGCTTGTTCGCGTGTTCCTGAAAGTAATGATGCATTACTCAGATAAAACCAGAAGATTCAATCCTGTAACTGCCATGCAGATAAGCAGTTATATTTATTGGAATTACTGACGGGGACATTAAAACTGAAATACACAATTATTCCAGTGGCTCACCTAGCACAGTTTCCCCATCTCCAACAGTGGCAGGCATGAGAAGCCCCAGGGAAGATCATAAAACTTCAATTAAAAAAATTATAGAACAAGTCATCTTAGATCTACAGACTGAAAAACCAGGATTTAAAAACTAAGTTGTATTAGAAATTTCATCTTATCCACAAGTGGATTTACCATTTAAAATTTATTCCAACCATGTTGAAAGTATGTTATTAAAGCAAGAAGATAATGACCTCATTCATTCTTGTGTTTGAAAGAAAAAGAGAGAAGGAAGAGCACAAGTAAGACAATTATTTCTATTTTCTTTCCTTCCCTTTTTTCCTTCTAAGTTTCCAGTACCTGCATTCAAAAGACTAGGACAGCACACTATAATCCATTTTCAAAGAGGCCTATACAAAAAAAACCCCAACAAAATTCCTTTTGTCCACAAAAGCACAATGGCTTCCACTAAATTGTATGGAATTGGTTGAAGTTACAAAATATATTCCTTTAATCCTTATTAAACATAATTCATTTCATGTACTCGATTCTGCTAGTCTACAGATAACTGCAAAACTTGGACACATCCCATAAAATAGTTGTATAGTTAACTACGTTTCAGTAATTTGCTATACTGAAAAGTGTTTGTTCTGTTCTCCTAGGTATGCCAAAGGCTATCCTCCTTACTCTCCATATATTGGAAGCTCTCCCACATTTTGTCATCTTCTGCATGAAAAAGTACCCTTCTGTTGTCTTAGACTAGATAAGGTAAAGGGGGTTTCTGTTACTGGATACAACGGCATTCTCATTTGCATCTGAACAGAGTTAAATTCTGGTTTCTACTTAGAGATGAGTTTGTTCAGCGCTTACTAAGCTATAATGTGGTTTCTCATCTATTTTGTCACCAAGGTTTTTTTATGTCTGATCAGGTCTATATCAGGTCATCTGATACAATTCTCTATTTCCTATGGTAAAACCCTTTAATGTCACAGCTAAATCTCTTTATTCACATCCATTGAACTTGTTTCTTATTTTGATTTTAGGGATGCCAACATAACTACTACGAAGACGCCAAAGCCTATGGATTCAAAAATAAATTGATTATAGTTGCAGCAGAAACTGCTGGAAATGGCTTATATAACTTTATTGTTCCACTCAGAGCTTATTACCGACCAAAGAAAGAACTAAATCCCATTGTATTACTTCTGGATAACCCGTAAGTAGATTTTTTTATTATTATTTTTTTTTTGTGATACATTTTAAATTCATTTTACCATTACTTCAATAGATGATCACTCTTCACATGGCCAACTTAAAATCAAAAACATTATGGCACATTTATCTTTGAGAAAAGTTGGTGACAAAAAATAATACCCTATGTTCACTGTCATATGCAAAATTGACTTTTTACTAACTGTAAATGGCCATAGTAAATTTAAATACTCTTCATGGCCAGTGTTTCAGCTAAGTATTTCTTAAAAATACCCCCAAAAATATGAATATTACTGCTAAAATTAAATAACTTCATAAATACACTAAAAAGCAAACTGTATAACAGTGTCACAGCTACATGACAGCAGTTCAGACAACACTAACCTACTTAACACAACTTAATTTTAGACTCTAAGATAAACAGTTCTTTAAGGCAGTAGGACACCCTCCCCTCTCCCCCCGCCAACTTTGTCTACAATTATATAAAGTCATGGAGGAAAATTAAAACCTGCAGTATTGTTGTTACTACCTCATCTGTCTGGAGATCACTGGAATTGTTAGCCTTTCTTGCGTTACCTGTTCAAAATGTAAGAGAAATTATCTTCTGGCAAGACTGATTCATTTATAATCTGACAATGAATGAAAGAGACTTTTGGTTTTGGTTTGTTTTCTTTTTTTTTTGCAACACTTTGGTACTGCTCAAGTACTTAAAAAATCCCAACCTGGAAGACACAAAAATGGAAGACAGCCGTATACAGAAAATTAGATCAAAATATGACTCAAAGAAATGACAGCAGTAGAAATTTCTTATAGGTTCTGATTGCAGGCTGGCACTTCCCTTTGCTTATGTATGTTCTAGTTTAAGCAATTTATTACACAAAGGCCTGCTGTGAAGTGTCCCACTTTTGCCTCAGCTCTTCAGTGAAGCTGTATACACCTGTGTTTGCAAAACAGAAGCTTTTTTGTGTACATATTGTGGCATGAAGTGAATTACACAAATTGGTAAAAGCCGAACTCAGAATAAAGAACTTCTGATTTGTGACTTGTAAACATGTGAACATACAATGCCCTCTAGTGCTTGTTTTCTTTTCCAGCATAGTGCCTGATTTCACATACTTTAATGCTGTTGTGACATTTTATGGCTAAACCCACTTTTTTTAAGCATAAAGTAAAAGCTATGGTTGCTAATTAAACTAATACCCTTAGTGTTGTCTCTCTCTACACAGCATTTGCAGTGACTCCTCTGAAAGGCCAACATTCATGGGACTACAGAAGCTAGCTGAAAAGCCAGCATGCTTTCCATACATGCATGAGGTGGAATTCAGGCTGCCATTCAAGTCAATTGGAATTTTGTAATTTACTTCATTGGACTTAGGAATTCAGCCACCTTTGTTGAACATATCTATGCCATGTTGTTATATTCCTATTTTCTTTATTTATCATGGCAATTTATTACAGTATGCTTATTCTGATATCTGCACATCACATGTATTTTAACATTTCCAATACTTCTTTGCATATACGAAGAAATACAGTAAAATTTATTATTAAAGAAACAATGCAATAAAATACAGTATCTTAGTTTTACATTCCATTTTAAAAATAAGGTTTCATTTATGATTCTCTCATTGACTTGAATGGAGCTGTTGGCACAAAAAACAAATGATGATTGGGTTCCCACTTCACATTTAACTTAAAAATTCTTACTGTTTAAATACTCCTGAGTCATGCATTGGAGTATAACTTGGTAGTGTGTCTTTGACATCAGTCGTTCATTCTTATATTTGGAATTCTACTGTGCCATAAAATTTCTGATTTAAGAGGTGCATTTATTAATATCAGCATGTTAATTCTGATCATCCTTTATGATCACAGCAAACTGTTGATTCACAGCTTTCTGCAAACCTATTTCCTGTTTAAAGTGATATACTGCCAAAGTTAAAAAAAGTTATTTTTTTTAAAAAAAGCTACCAGTTTATTGAAATATTTTAGAAGAGATGCTGCTGTTGTGATATTGTGTTTCATTTTGTAATCCCATCTGCTGCTTAGGCCAGATATGCATTTTCTGGATGCAATCTGTTGGTTTCCAATGGTTTACTACATGGTGGGCTCTATCGACAAGTAGGTGAAATAACTGTTAGAAAACTTAACATTGTAGTGCTCAGTGGTTTGTTGTGTGTATCGTCATTGCATGTTTAAGTGTGTGTTGTATTTGAAGATGATCTTTTTGCATGCATGGTTTGTGTCTGTGTGCTATAATTTGGGATTTCAATTTTATGCCTTATAAAGGATATTATTAGTGAAAATTGTGTCATGGAACACAAGTCAATATCTTCAACAACATAAGATTAAGACTTAATTAGGTGCATTAATGTGTTTCTACAAATTGACAGATTATACCCCTGATTCTAGTGTCATTCTATAATTAGTTTGTTTGGGTTTACTGACTAGGGTTTTGTAAAGATAGCAAGAGAATGTAGACAGTCTCAAATACGTCCGACAGTCTTCATCTTCTGCTACTTAAAATATCACCTACTCCTACATTTCTGTCTTCACCTCTGTTCATACATATTTGCATGTCTAGGTTTAGCAACATAGATTTAATGTAAAAATCAGGCAGAAACAAGATAAGAGCAAGGGCTCACTAACATTTTAGCAACCTCCTGGGTGTTGAGTGTCAATTTAAAGAAGAAAATGGTTTGCTTCACTTCATAGCTAAACTGAGTTGGGGCTACAAACCCATAATACTAATTCCCCAGCTAGAAATCAAAAAATTATTCCTGTTCTGAATTAACAGAATCCAGTATTTCAATGAGAATTCTCAAGATCCAACGTTTCTTCATCTCAACCTATTGTAACAAGGGCTTCAAAACTACTTATAGTAGTGATACAGTTACAGATTTACCTTGGTGAAACCACAGTCATGAGATTTGCAAAGAGTCTACAGAAATGTTTTTTACTTTCTACATTTCTTCCTCTAGACCAAAAAAGTGTCTTGGGTTGTTAATATCTACAACTTTCTTAGCTTTTAATTCCACAACAATTATAAAAAAATTCATACCAACTGAATAATTGAATTGTCTCAAAGTGTCCAAAGTAATTAATAACCCAAATAGATTAACCTGTTTTTATCATGAAAAATGAAACTTCATTTAAATTTACCATGTTTCTTCCAAAAACGAAATCACAAAATCCCTCCCTAAAGATTTTTTGTTGTTTTTAGAACTGAGTGCGTTAAAAATAAAACAAAAAAGGGTGTCACTTTTTTATCTGAGTTCTGTAAAATCACTTTAAAATAAGTGATTTTACAGAATTCTACAGTTTACAGTAATACTAGTGTGAACTTCTGCATCTTTTATGAAAATACAATTGCTTTAATTCCTGGTGCAATAACCAATTGTATTTCATAGGGTGGGGTTTTTTTTTTGACATCTCTTTCCAGCAATAACAATACTTCAAAAAATGTAGTTCATACTTATTCCCTATATTTTCCTAAACATGTTCTCAAATCCTGTACAATTAATAGAATTTGATCATCTTTAGCTAAGAACTACAATGTCAAGTATACAAAGTTTCCTTTCTTATTTAATGGTATAGAATAAATTCCCAAAGTGCCACCTACTACCTTTTCAGTACCTAACATATTTGTCATTTGGTCACCTGGTGTGAACTGTCATCATCTTAGAGAGAAAACCACCCAAAAATTCTTCTCATTAACCACTCGTTTTTGTTAGAAGTGAATGGCCTGCAGAAAAATAGCTTTACCAAAATTCATAGTTGGGATGAACTTTGTCAAATTATGTCATCAAGTAGTAAATATTTGTTCTACAGACTTCAAGTATAAATCATTTGACATCTGTAACTGAAGAGATTTCAGTTATGAAGAAATCTTTTCAGTATTAAGAAACTTGTCACTAGAACTGAGAACCAGAATTACAATACTAATAAATTAGTATTTTTTAAATTCTCCACAAATTAGCTGTATGTAACTTCTAAAGTAAGAATAGCTATTGAGCTTGTGAAACGCTGAAATACAGAAAATCTGACTATTTCAGAATATGCTGCTATTTTCAAAGATCAATTGAAAGACTGAACACGTGGAAATAAAAATTCCTCAAAATTCAGAGTTCTACTTCTGCACTGAAGTTGCTAGTGTAGATCATACAAAGTGCAGCCTTTCTCTTGCTTTAGTCAACCACTGGTGATACTGCAGAGTTCCAAAAAGAATTATATTATGTATTTGTTTTGGAAGAACATGTATAAGATGTAAAATAAATAACCACAAATTTGTACATGTTTGCTTACCCAAAATTTCAAAAAGAATTTATAATAGGTTATGTCAACTTAGGACACTGAAAAGGTAATTTCTGAAAAGAAAAACTGTCAGGATACTTAAGACTTAAATAATTGCTAAATGAGAAGCAATTTTAATTACAATGCAAAACTTAGTTTTCCAATCTCCCTTGGAAACCATGAAATTCACCCTTTCTTCTAATTTTCACTTAAAAATTGCTAGTTTCCTAGCAGTCTTTATCATTACAGGAAAGCCCTTTCTAAACTTTTTGAAAAGTGATTTTTTTTCTGTCGAAAATATTGTTAAAACAACTAAAACATGCTTCATGTTGGAAACAAAGCTATAAGAAGCGTGATGAGAACTCTAACTCAGTTCTCTGTTTTCTTTGGTCAGGCTTCACAGGAAATACTGCCCAGCAGAGTGCAGTGTTTTACTGATGTACAGCTGCTCATAAAAGCATTATGAGAACACTCCCAACTCATAGATTAACCTAGAAAAGTAATGTATTGGATGTCCTGGTAGAATATTTATTAGCATTTTGAAACTGAAATATAATTGTGGGAAAGAGCAACATAAAGCCTTTATTTGGGTCTTTTTATTACCAAAAGTAACTACAATGAAGCAAGCTGTTGCAGCATGTAAGGACACCCTGGATTTCCAAGTAAACATTAAAGGCTTATTTTAAAAAGTTGAAATAAATTTATCATTTTAGCAAAAGGAGAGGGGCTGTAACAACCTACTGAAGTGCATTCTGTATGACTTCAAGGAAAACAATTATTCATATTCTAATCTCTCAATTAATTGAGATTATATACTTGATGTATGATACATTAGACATGATACGTACATGGAGATAAAGGGAACCAGGAACTCACCCTGTGATCTGCAGTTCCAACCATCCCTAATCTTTTAAGTGTTCCATATTTAAGTTGCTTGTTTCTTTCTCCCTCTTTCTCTTCACAAAAGCCTAGATGACTTATTAAGATGTGGGGTCACCTTTGCAGCTAATATGGTGGTGGTCGACAAAGAAAGTACAATGAGTGCTGAGGAAGACTACATGGCAGATGCTAAGACTATTGTAAATGTCCAAACACTCTTTAGGTAAGGCATATTTGCAATCTGTCTATACATCCTCATTAATTATGAAATACTTAATGTCTTTTGTACTCAGATAAAAGATAGTTTTTTTCCTTCTTCTACTTAAGTTTTTTCTTTCATGAATTTGTGGGGAAACTTTTTCCCACCTTGCTTAGCAATACACTCAGAATAGTGAGGTATTCTCCTGAAATCTCAGATGAAATTCTATGCATCCCAAAACTGGATGATCGTTTTAAAAGTCAACTGTCAGGTTTACAGGAAGGAAAAGAAAGCTACTCTTGAAGACTTAGGACCACAGGTAGTTGAGAAAAGAATTTTTTCCTGAATGCAACAGTCTTTTACAGGAATGCTAAAGCCAGTATGGAAAGCAAATCCTTCTAATCCTAAAAGGTAAGCAATGCATCACTATGAAGTTAATACTAAGTGTTCACATTTCAGATCTTTAGTTTTGAATAAAAATTAGGTTTTCAGGCAAATGTATGCAAAATTATATATGACAACAACATTCTAAGAGTCATGAAGGAAAAACTGAATACAGAGTGAAAAAAATATCAGTGTAGTAAAGAGGCTGAGAAAGCAGTACTGTGGTACAGAGCTAAACACACTGAGATTTCCTGTTCAAGAACCTCTCCTGATTAAAGCCTCACTTTGTGTTAAATACCTTGATTCAACAAGTACCAAAAGACACGTCCTTTTAAACTGTGAAAAAAGTTCTTATTTGCTTAAAAAAAAAATCCCACACAAAACAAAACACACTACAAAGCCTAGTAAGAAATGTCTCCCTGATGCATTAAGGCTTGCACTTCTGCTGTTCATTCTAATAAGACCTGAACAAAATTAATTCCTTCCCTAGAAGATTCAGTATCATTCAATATTGCTACCTTTTTCTATCAGGCCTTCTGCATAAGACTGGAGAGAGGTGCATAGCAAAAGTCTTTTGAATCTGCCAGTGTTTTGGAAAACCAATCTCATTAGAAAATGAATATTTCAATGTAGAGACTTTTTTTTTTAATTCAACCATGTATGAGAATGCAGTTAAATGCTGATAGTATTTCTGCACTTGCTCTAAAGAAGCAAAATTTACATTGTACAAGAAATTTTCGTTCTACCTTTTTCAAACTGAGTTTTTGAATTTGTACCCAGTACTAGCACAGGTGTGTCTTTCATAGTCACACCTAACTTTAATTTAGAAACTATAATTGACCTTAATCTGTGCATCATTCAAGTCTCCTCTTAACCATATTGTGCTAGGGTATCTCACTGAGGTTTTGACATACATCAGCTAAATTTTTCAGAAGTACATTTTACCCCCCAATGTAAAACAGAAAAATGAGTTGAATAAAAAAATAGAACTTACAAAGTAATTGATTTTTCCAGTAGTCATGTTGTTTCTACATGGTTCTACTTATTAAAATACTACAAAAAAAGAGAAAAAGATCATATTAGTACCCTATGTACTATAGGTATCCAACTACAACTTATTATATAATTATGCAGTTGTCTTGCACAATGCTTACAACTAGATGGCAGCTTTAACTCATGCATGAACTACGTATCTGGTTCAGTTTAGTATTAAGACATGATATTTTTTACAAATACCAAAAGAAATCAGAATAAATAACTTGGTTTAAGACAGAACGATACTTTTTCAGAAAACTTTGTAAACTTTCACAAGTAGTGTGTTGTATATTTTTTTTCCTAATTCTTTTCCCTAGAACACATAAAATAATTTCATTTCATTTTTACATTAACTAAAAGTTGTAGAAATAAGTAAGCTCTGGGAAGAGTCATAACATAGTGGCAGTTTCCTCTTCTACAGAATACACTGCACTAATAGTTTTGTAAATTAATTTTAAAAATATCCTTAAAAGTTTTTCATTACTTATTAACAGGTAATAATATCAGAAACTAATAAAGAGGCTGGACATGGTGGAGAACAACAGCTCTTAACACAAACTGTAGTGTTAAAGAAGGATTTTAAACCACTGGAGTTCTGCTAATATACGTTGTTCTCAAAGATATCATGTCAATGAAGAAGATTACATTTAATTCTCACCAAGTGAAATAATTCAGAAGATACAGACTAATCTTAACCTCACTGATTTGGTTCACTCAGATCAGTTGACCTCATTAAGGGTTTTGGACAGGCCTGAAAAGGTGATGTAAATGTGCTGCAGTACTCTTTGGCCTAGGTTGCCAGTTCTCATATACCTCTTCTGACATTATTCCCTGATTTAATAATCTTGCTTTGCCACAAGAGCTTGTCCCCCCCACATATTAGAAACAGATACATTGGCAGGGTTATTAGCACCTTTAAGGCTAGAAACTGTTCCCTACCAACTAAAACTGTGATCCAACACTAGCTTATCTGACTTAATTATAATTAAAAGGAGTAAAGAAGTGTGACTTAAATGCTCACACTGATGAAGAAAAGGAAATATTTAATCCTTTGGATGAGAAAGAAGAAGTTAGCATAGTTTAAAAGTACAAGGAGAAGTTACTAGTTTTGGACTGTGTCACTTTTTAAGGTGAAATATGAAGCCAACGATTGAGTGCCTATTGACAGCTAGAAGTCCACCTCAGAAAAACAGTGCGTTTCCTCAAACAGTAGGTCTGCACTAGAAGGAGCGTTTAGATTTACTCTTGCTTGCCATTAATTAATGGGTTTAAATGCTGGTGTTTGGGAGGCCCTGCTTTTAAGTTTTTGTTAGATAACATCTTGAAGGCTATGTTACAAATACTGCAAGAAGCATATTGACAGCAGTACTCCTAATAAGTCAATAGTTTGGTTGATACCTAGTAGTAAGCAGCAATTTTTAGATAAACCAGATAAGCTGTTACATTGTTTTCTTGGTTTATCTTTTTGGTTCAGGAAAGAACTAAATGTATCTCTTGCTTGTCTAATTCCCAAATACCAGTTCAACAGCAACCCGTGTCTTCCATCAGGCCGATTAGGGTTTTTTTTCCACCCCACACAGTCCTTTTTCACCAGAATGGGACAGAAAGTGGGACCTCTGCAGAGAAGAAGCCTGCTCTGGTGCTGAAAGCTTGCAGGCAGTGTGCCTCACGCCCGGAGCAAGAGGCAATCTGGCTGACTTTCCATTTCCTGGAAAGTCATTTCCCCTATTTCCACTAAAAGACAACTCATAAGCAAAATAAAAATTTTACAAATACCAGATTTGAAACTGATTTCCTAAAATAAATCAGTTTTCATATCTTTTTGATAAACTAAACCCATTTTTAGCAGACACCTAGTAACCTGCAGTTGTGTATATTTTATCATCAGCTTTTAATTGCTGTTACTCTTAGTTCTTTATGTTATATTGTGAGTTTCAAATATGAATGCCTACTTTTTAATAGAGAAATACATTAAAATTTCCAGCCAGCAGAAGCTTATGCTACACGATACAGAATTAACGCAGAGGAAATCTATTCTCCTTCCTCAGAACTTTAACACATTTGTTAAGCTACTTAATACATACAAGTTTATACCTACAAGAGTGATATTACCAGAATTTTTTTTCAATTTTCATGAGCACTTCACAGGTTTTATAACACACAGCATACAAATGAAGATGTACCACATTTGTATCTTGAGGGTGTGATTATCATGTATTTAATATATGTACATAGACTCCATTCTTCAAGCGCTTAGTCTTTAGTAGGACATAAGTGGACTTTGTGTAACAATACTGCACCGCTTAGAGTTTGGATCAAAGTCTGACTGTAAGAGCTAAAAAGGTACAGAAATTCCTGAGCATGGACAAGGCCTTTCAAACTACAGTGCACACAAGTAGTCGTTAAGTGATTCATATTCTCACCCAGTTTTCCAAGTCCATTTTTCCTTACATAATGACATTTAATACTTGATTACTCAAGGGACATAGTAACTGCTAACATAACAATGGCTAACCAGTCTACCATCACATGATCTTATGTTCGGAACATGGAAACTGTATTGCAGTAACATGACCTTAACATGTACTGGCAGATAGTTCTGACATATGTTTTGCCACACTTAAGCTCTGCTTGAATTGCCCTTTCAGTGAAGCTCCCCCTTACAAAAGTGAGGGAAAGAGACTAAAGACTTGCAAAAAGGTACACTGGATTCCATTTGACACTAACTTACTAAATTCACCTTTCAAGAACACCACTTTAATTTTTATCTGAATGAAAGAAGACACATTAATGATGTCATTAGTACTACAATTATCTATTGTTACATGTAGATAAGTACTTTCAGGGTCAGCAGAGCAGATTACAAATGCACATCTCATTTTCTGACACTAATCTGTATAAGGAATACTCAAGTATTCCAAGTTGTTTAGCATTCACATAGTGTAAACTACAAATTTATTTCTAGTTCTTAGAGCCCTGAGGGCTGGGGAGGGGCTCTTTAGTCTGCTTCTTGAAAATCTGTTTAATTCAGCCAGAGTTATACTTTATTCACTATTTTTGTTATTGGAAGCCTGAATTAGTGTTAACTTATAAATATTTTGTGTATGTAAGTATTTCAAAGTGAGAACATAAGTATACATAAGCATGCAATTCCATGATTCTATGATTTTCTCAGCAACTTCCAAGAAGTGTCTATTTTCATCTATGTTATTCAGTCTATGGACACAGAGCATACAAATAGAACTAAAAAAAAAATAAAAAAATAATCAAATGGAAACAGTACGTAAGCCAGTTCTAATATAATGGTAGTTTACATGCAACCAGATACTAAGTGCAGGCTACATAGTTTTGCATTTTTTCTTGTTTCCTGCAGATTTGTGTCATTTTAAAAATTATTACATAAATTCTCTGTTAATGAAATTAAGTGGTTCCTTTCTAGCATTAAAATATTTTATAAGCTCAACCTTTGAATGTACGTTTGCTACTTTGTGAATTCTACAGATAATTTTTGTAGTTTCCTCTGCTATTATACTAGCATTTCATTGTGCCAAAAACCACCACAGGTTTCAGGCACTTCATTAAAAACATGGTCATGAGCACAAGCTATAGCATTATGTAGAGCCTTACATTTGTGAATTGTTATAATTACAGGTATAACTGTTACATTCTTTTAAAATACAGGTTGTTCTCAAGCCTAAGCATTATTACAGAACTAACTCACCCAGCCAACATGAGATTCATGCAGTTCAGAGCCAAAGACTGCTATTCTCTTGCTCTATCCAAATTAGAAAAGGTAAGAAGATTTGCCTCCCTCCATCCCCAATTTAAATGTTATAATTTTAACACTTTTTCTGATTTTGTAACAATGCTTTCAAAACAAGGCGAAACTGTGAAATTATTTTATGGTTGCAGAGCTAATGTAAAAGAATAATTTTTTCAAATTCTACCCTCATTTAAGAACAAAGTTAGATTTGAGTTCCATCACTTTGCAATATAATATGAACCCACCAACCCTCTGGACAGAGGTGAACACAGATTTTGCTCAAGGAAAATTGAATATTTTTGGATAACAGAATATTCAGAGTTAATATGATTTTCCAAGAGGCTGCCATAGGCAATTAATGTGGAAAATATTTTTCCCCAATTCACTTTGAAGGCATTGTAATTACACATTCCTTATGGGCACTATAATTACATATTCTACATTCCATGTATCTGTACGGTGTTTGCATTACTGTGACAGTTTGAGAACAGAGGGCTGGAGCACCTATGAAGACAGGCTGAGAGTTGTGGTTGTTCAAGCCTGGAAAAGAGGAGGCCCTGGGGAGACCTTACAGAAGCCTTTCAGTACTTAAAGGGGGCCTACAGGAAAGATGGGGAGGGACTCTTTATGAGGGAGTGTAGTGACAGGATGAAGGGTAATGGTTTTAACCTGAAGAGGGTAGGTTTTGATCAGATATTAGGAAGAAATTCTTTACTGTGAGGGTGGTGAGACACTGGAACAGGTTGCCCAGAGAAGCTGTGAAAGCTTCATCCCTGGAAGGGTTCAAGGCCAGGCTGGATGGGGCTTTGAGTAACCTGGTCTAGTGGAAAGCCATGGTAGGAGGGCTGGAACTAGATGATCTTTAAGGTCCCTTCCAATGCAAACCATTTTATAACAGCAATCATTCTCTTTTAAAGGGCAGTCCTAGAGACAATAAGGGTAGTAACACTACTTAAATGCTAGATAAAACATTCATATTCTATACATTCTAGAGCACGTGATAGAATTTTCAAGCTGTGGAACAGGGAGGCCAGATGGAGATAAGTTTAATTTACTTTGCTTGTCCAAAATACTATTGCTGAAACATTAGATGGGAGCATACAAAGTAACATTGTGCATCTGTTTTACTTGGTAAATTCAAGGACAATCCTCCTTTTCACAGACCTTCGTTGGTGATCTGACCCATCTACCTCTGCAGTCCACAAAACTTACAGTATCACCTTCATGATCTTTTAGGCCATTTTCTGAGTTTATGAGACTAAGACAAATAAATATCACTGTGCCAGTCTTCAAGAAAAGAGATCTTTCACTCCAGTCATCTCTTGTTCCCAGCAGATATTATTGCTGGGTTCTCTCATGTAGACTCCCAATCTCTTCACCTCAGGTATCTTAGATATTTTAGGAAATTTAAATTAATGCTAAAACCAATATCATTACACAGAACTAGCATATAATTTCCATTTCCTAGCTGTAGGGTAAAATTCTGAGATTGGGGATTTCAGATATTTCACTATTTACTATTTAACATTCACATAGTTAACCGTAACATATATTTAATGGAAAACTGCCTTTTCATACAAACTTATCTTCACAGGCAGCTCCAAATTTCTTACACAAGAATCAAATTCTGCAAAAGTTCAACCGGTCTAGATGAGATAGGATTCATATTAGAAGTCAATCTTTTACTCACTTGAGTATCATACTTACATTTCGACCTCTAGATATAAAGATCTGGGTGATCTTTTATGATTTGTTGACCTTTGCCTGAAATAGAACGATGGCCCAATCTTATCCAGGTAATATTCTGATAAGCATGTAGAATGGAGAACTGTGAGGAAGCTAGATAAAAGTTGTTAGACAAAGAGGAGCAGTTTGCAGTGGGAGGCATGTCTTCATTTGGATTATGCCACTCCCACTATCCATTAAGGTTCATACCCATGGTTCCTCCATTTTAGCACTCCTTCCCTCAATGGTAACTTCAGGAAGAATAAGCTGGAACTAGCTGGAATCGTGCATTGCCAGTTTATTCAGGGCAACATGTGCCAACAGCTGGATAGCGCCTTTCAAGACTATGTTCCAGCCTAACAGTTCCTTGGTGTACTGTAACCGACAGCAGAACAGTAACAGCTTTCCCAGTATGTGGTGTCTGCAATGGTTTCTGGAATACTCCACAAACTGCAGCCTGTCTACTTCGATGCAGTGAAGTGAGGGTTCTTATCTCAGTTCTCTCTCTTGCTTTACATTGGCTCCTTCTTTTTTCCAGCAAAGGTTCTGGAAATCATCAGAAATATAACAACTTCTTCCCTATCTTTATTAATTTATTGTAGTCATGAATACAGGTTGGAAACTAAACAGTTAGTTAACTTCCTTTCCAAACTATGCTATGCTAAAATAGAGGTAGATAAATTATCTTAAAGAAAGAACATTTTCTTCATTGCTGTTGAAGTTGCCTGCTGTTGATATTTCCCACTCATTTCATCTTAACATTTGCAGGGAGCACTTCACAGGTGGTGCTGTAGTTCATTTGATGTTTCAAAACTCCCTCATGCAAAATGAAAGGCAATTAAAAACTCAAGTAAAAATTATCTAATGCAGCCAAACGTACAGTTGATTGTTATTTCTGCATTAAGCACCTCATTTTCAGAAAGACTAAAAAAGTCAGGCAAGTTGCCTTCATGTACCACTGAAACACACATGCAAAATTGACTTTTCCACCTAATGGACTGCAGAAGAAAGATACGCAAATCAAAAGTCCATCTGTTGTTGCAGCTGCAACTTTCCTCATTTTAGAGATAAATAAATCTGAACACAAAACTCAGCACTGACATAGGAGAAAGCAATGGCCCTTATACAACTGAGAAAAGGAAAAACAAACCACCCATGTTCTAAACTTAAAACTTATGTTCCTCATTTGTGTTAGATAAGAAAAAATGAGGTAACCACTCTCTAAAGAAAGGGTTTAGAATATCTTAGATAAGATTCACACTTTAGTTCTCAATTGCAGGTGTTAACTGAAGGATAAAAATTCTAAACCTTTACATGATCATTTTAAAATATGTGGAAACTCCTATATTCTTTAATCAATACTGTGATATTGTGTCTTCTACAGGGATAAGCACATACATGTTAGGTGAGCAGAAATCTATCTGGGACGTCCCAGTATATATTTACAGTGATATATATACAAAGCCAGGCTGCTTTTTTTTTTTTTTTAAGTAAATTAAAGATAGGGCATAATGCCTTCGTTTGTTTTCAGTATTGTTCAGGTTTTAAGCAGATTTGAAGTAACATTAAATAATAGCAAGCAGTAATGATACATGGATTATAAAAAAAGATTGGTATCTGTTAATTGGTGTAAGTCTTATTTTAGATGGATCTCTAATGATTTACATTCTAAAACTAAATTCTAAAAATACAATTCTAAAAATAAATAAATAATTGGCACACATATTTTGCTATTGAACTGGCAGTTTTTTAGAAGGCTGTTCCAGATCAACAACAGAAGATGAATCTGTTCTTACCAAAAAGGTAGAACAAAAGCAATTAAGAACAAGTAGTCCAAAATATTGTAAGCTCTTCCAGGGGTGAAGTGTTATCAATGCAAAACCCTTTATGTCAAGAAAAAAACATTAGGAGGTTTCCGTGCCTAGATTTTTGATTAGTCTTATGTCTGACTTGGGCAACAACCAACATTTACCAAAACTAACAGTGCACTGACAGTTGCCTGTAATAAGCTACTACCTCTATCACCTTTATATGTTCTTGCATGACCCCCACCTTTCCAGCCTCTTTCCCTTATCCTTGTATGTTAACTACAGACACTTTGCATTGTTTGTACACAACAGTTACAGCCTATCATGGCAGTTTCCATATTACTGTCTATATCAGATGAGAATACATTAAATCAAGATTTGCCCTAGATCTCTGTCAACCACTGACAGAGTGACCAAAACAGGGCTTCAGGTTAGTTTGGGGTTGGTACTTTGATATTGGTATCATAGAATTAACTGCTGTGAAGGAATAGGTATTTATTTAGAAATAGTGAAAAGATAAAACCATGATAAAGAACCTTAAAAAAGATTTGATACAAATATAAATTAACATGTAAAAGAGGGAAAGAAACTGAAAAGTTTACTTGCCAGCCAGTCATTCCCCAGCATGTACTACTGCATATACATGGTAGATGCAAGTGTCTCAATTCCAAGACATGTAAAATTTCTGTACTTTAAAAAGACCTCTTACTCTTCATGACATCTCTGAATGGAAAGCTTGATCTTTCCTCTCTTCTTCAAAAAGAATAAAATCACTACCAACCTGTACTTTTGCTCTCCAATAACTGAAGGAATAGGAAGCACGTTATGGTGTGATTCCTCTGCAAGCGAGATATGATAAAGAAAAGGTGTAACTATAATTATGTTTTTCTGCATCCCTTCCCCAGAAGCATCAGAGCAAAGTTTCTACCTCAGTCCATGTCTGATCTCATCTCAGATCCTCACATTCACTGAAATATCATTTCTTTCACATGAGATTCTGTTCATGTTTCATGTACCTGTTCCTATTATACTTTCTGGACCTGAATGGGAGTCCACTATCAGCACCGAGGAACTGAAGCAGGAATAACAAGAGCTTTGCTCTAAGCACAGTTGAAATCCCTCAGTCATTTTTAAAATGATCTGGTAGAATATGTCCATGTAATTTGAGATGTGATGACTGAAACAACATATGCATTAAACAAAATCTTTCAACCTGAAAAATTCTAAGAACTGAACAAAGATGCTACATATTTGTAGAAGAAACTATATTCAGAGTAAAGCGATTCTACACTTTTGACCTCTTTCAAGTTAATATCAATTTGATGTTTTGATTATAGTCCTTCCAACACCAGCGCTAAAAAGTATCTTCTATTTTTCAATTCCTTAACAGAAAGAGCGGGAGAAGGGATCTAATCTGGCATTTATGTTTCGACTGCCCTTTGCCGCTGGCAGGGTCTTCAGCATCAGTATGTTGGATACGCTGCTTTATCAGGTACTATGGACAATAATGTGACTTATTTTAACTCAGACATGAATTGTTACAACCTATTTTATTGTACTTAATTGTTAAAGGACCCTGTTTTCCTACACGAATTAATACGTGTCTGTACCAGGAACAATCAAAGGTAAAAGATAATGGAGCATGTTTCATATGACAGTACGACCTAAGTTATCAACTGAAAAACTCTGTTCTTGCATGAATTCTGTTGTTAAGCAATATATACTGTTTGTGAACCTCTCCACACTCAAATAACCAGGATAGTTTGCATAAGGCCTACATAAAATACAGATTGTACAGACGAATAATGCTTATACTCTGTGACAAAAAGGCAGTGCCCATTCCCACAAAATAGTGTCTCTAACCACAAAAATCAACAGAATTACTTCTACGAGTAATTTATCAGTCATCTACATTAGCTGATAGAGGCCTCAATTACTTCATTGGGTCCTGTCCTCTTACTCATCTTGACTAGACTTCCAGATGACCAGTTATCATATCTTAAAGTAATCCATTCTTGTCCTGAAAAAAAATATGTGCAGTAGTTACAAAGAGGCAGTGAAAAGGCAAGAAAAGGCAGCACTGAATTGCCCAAGAATCCAGGACAGAGCTCCTCATGCAAAAAGAAGTGATGACAGTCAGTCGGGATAAGGGAAGGGCAACAGCTTCAGACAACTGAAGAAACAATATATCAGAAAATACAGGGTCGGGACAAATGGAGGTAGGAGTTGCTGGTTTCAGGGTGGAAAAACAGGAGAATATTGCCCTTGCACTTCAGCAATGACCACCTTTCTGCAAATGCTGGTACATTGAGATGCCCAAGCAGCACCAGCCTTCAAGGATCTAGCTATGTAGAGTAAGCAGCAATACCACCATGGCCCATGTAGCTTGCTCAGCAGCTACCTACTTTGCCTATACCTAGAGGTAGCCTGTGGATGCTTTAGTATTCAGGTACTAAATGTTCTTTGAGGGAAGTTATTTTACTTGGTAATTTGGTGCATGAAAGGTGTTCTTTCATCTCAATCCTACTTCCAAGTAAATTCCCTGAAGGCAAATTCCATGTAAATAGAAAAATTCCTGGAGCTAGGCTTTTCTCAAAAAGTCATTAATATATGAAACAGCCATGTATACGGGCAGATACCAAAAGCATACAAGCCAACAGATGTAAAGTCATTTATCAAATTGTAGATGTTTTAGAAATAAATGCATTTGCTTATAAAACATGTTTTTAATCGTGTTGCAGAATATCAATATCACATATGGCATTTTTTTTTAAAAGTAGATTAAGACACCTATAGAGAAACAGATCTGTCCTTATCAACAACTACTGCCAGCAATATTTTATACTTGCTCCTAGGCATGATCAGTCATGCTATGACTTGACAGAATAAAACCATTCACCAGAAAGTGTTTAAATCAAAAAACTCCACATGTTCATTCTCACTCGAATTTCACGCATTCTTTCTTTGAACTCCTGCTGCTCAGGTGAAGTGTCATTTTTCTAGAACTACATTTCTTATTCCAAGTTAAAAATACTATGACAGCAAGTTCTCTCTGTTCTTTTTCATGGTCCCATCCTTTTCTGGATGACATCTTTTTCTTATGCATACTAGGAACAGAATAAATGACATGGAAAACAGCGGGATTCATCTGATGCATCCTGCTTTAGGCCAAAAGAAAAGCCTTTGAATTATCTTTAGGACACTGATTGAAAAATGAAAACTTTGTCTAGCAAATCCTTGTAAATACACCTGTTAATCTAATGATAATTCCATGCATAAATGATGCAGCCAAGATAAAAAATAAGTGAAGGTTACAAAAAAATTTTGTTCTTTTCAAGAAGATGCTCATTGGCATTTACCCTGTCACAGCTGGAAGGTTACCAATGTAACAATTAAAGTAGTTAAATCACTATATATCAAATTAAATGTGTCTCGCTTCTGAGTTTAAATAAATTCAGATGCTATAACTCTAAAGGATGTATGTAACAACTTTGTAAGGTATTTCTTTATTAAAACCTATTTGCTAGCTCCGTATTTGTGTTAAACCAGAAGAGCTAATTGCAAGTTCTGTTCCAACAAGGATTGATGGCCTGCCTTGAATGCTGCGCTCCTACACCTAAGAGGAGGCGGCAATGAACAGTCCTACCACAGTTTGCAGGGCACCCCCATGGCCCTCTGATTCCAGCAGCCCAACTCATATGGAGGAAAACTCTTTGTGATTTTAGCAGATCTAATGTCTGTTCCCAGTCTTAGCCTACACTTCTACATTTACCTTAATTTCTCCCTTTCAACCAATCAGCAAAATAATTCTGTTAGCAGAGCAACAAGCCTGACCTCAGATAAAGCAGATCAACCCTTAAAAAATAGATGGATTGGTGAAGGCAGATGACCTGTTTGAATTAAAATAATAACAGTCTCACCTTAGTATTACCAACATCTCAGACCCATCTTACATATGACAGCTTTTCTTTTGCACAGAAGATTTCATTATTATTATTTCACACCTAGTAATGCTAATACCTTACTTCCATTGTTCTTACATCTACATTCACCTTTGCTTTCACGGTGCCTTATTGTGCCTTAGTCTCTTTGAATCCTGTATGTACATTGGATGCATATACAGAGCCAAATAAAAAGAAATATTTTATGTAAGTAGATTCAGCACAAAGAAAGGATAGCTATTTCTACAGTGATTAAAATTTAAAAGTTAAAGAGATGGATTGTAAACACAGATGTAAAATTTCTTTGAAATTCACACATGATGCTAATGGTTACCTGCTCATCTGTTCATTAAAGCTTTTTTCTTTCTTTTCCGTCTCTCCTATTAAATATCTTGCAGTCATTCGTAAAAGATTATATGATTTCTATCACAAGACTTCTGCTGGGACTTGATACAACACCAGGATCTGGGTTTCTTTGTTCTGTAAGTTATTGAAAAAATAAAAATAATAAATGATTACATAGTAGCACAGAAGATTCTGTACTGTCTGCAAAATACCTGCTTTCTTTGTATAGCACTTCCTTTTGTATAAGTGCAAGAAAGGCCATCTGTTCCCTTTTTCACCAGGGAAGACAAGAAAATTAGATAGAAAACATACCCATTTATAGTTGCTTCCATAGCAAAAAACATCACCTCCAAGAAAACACAATACGTTCTATAAAGGACAAAGGAAAATAGGAAAACACAAGAAAAGTACATTTAATATAGCAACGGCAGCTCAGCAACCAATTTTTAAAATTAAATATATAAAAAACAGGAAGCACTACCTATATTGTACAGCCTGGCTAGCACTTACACACAATACTATTTCACAACACTCATCTCCAACATAAACAGTAAAGGGCAGAACTGGATTTCACACAACATTAAGATGTATTATATGGCTTTAGTTTAGCTGTCAAAGTTCAAAAGTCATCTTGTTATTATATGTCAATATTCTCCAATGTAGAGTTTATTTATTTTTATATGTCTATACACACACAAGTAACACTATAAAAATGTATTTTTTATTAAAAATAAACTCCACCTTTCTCTTCCTCCCACACTCATCACATACCAGGTGGCTAATAGATGAACAGAAGTTAAATTATTTACCAGTTACTTCCCTGGGAACTATAAGGAATTGCAGGATGTTGTTCTCAAAAAGGAAGTTATTAATGATGGTTTAAGAAAGTTGTTTACATAAAAAACAATTATGGATTTGTTGGTCAGTCATTAAGCTTTGTTATGGTGAACACAAGACAACTGAATCCCTGAAAAGGGGCTCACGTATCTTGAAGTAAAGCTAGTGTAATAATGAAAATGAAATACTTTAGATTAATTTAAGACTTCCTTATAACGTTTATGCTTAGTGTATTACTTTTCTCCTCTTCCCTTCTCCCCAGGTATTCAGCCTGCAGTTTAGTGAACAGTTATCTGGCTGCTTTCAAAATACTTATGCATTCTTCAGTCCATCCATCACCAGTTTCTTACTGCTGCCAATATTTAGTTCATTACTTTATATTTTAATTAGATATAAACACTGCATGAAGGATGCTATGTGAGTTTTTAGGTAATTTTAAAACAAGAACAGAAGTAATTTCATTAAGACTGAAACATTTGCACTGCAATATCTCCAAAACAGGGACAGAACAAAAGAAACAGTGTTTACAAATTCAGAAGTTCCAGATTTGTTGTAGAGCAAAGGTGCAACACTACAATATGATCATTTTCAGCTAGTGTTTAGTTTTAAACTTTTTTTAAAAATAGAATAGTGAATAAGTGATAAGTCCTCAAGAGTTAAAGTCCTCCTCCCTATTATTATTTATTCAGATGAAAATCACAGAAGAGGATCTATGGATTAGGACATATGCCAGACTATATCAGAAACTTTGTTCTTCTACAGGAGACATTCCAATTGGAGTCTATAGGACAGAATCCCAAAAGCTTACAACATCCGAGGTATGTCAATTTACTACACTTTTCTTTGGATTTGATTACAGATTATACAACATTCTTTGGTCCTCATAAGAATGGGAACCACTAATTTATAGAATATTGTGAATGCCATATGTGCAGATGCACAGAATTCCAATTACCCACCGAAGTTCTTTCTCTGCTGACACGTATATGGTCACATTAACTCAGGGCTCACATTCAGCCCCGGACTTCATGAATACCCAGACCCAGTCTACAGACTGACTTTGATTCTTGTGCTCACCTGCAGAGAACTGACTGGTTGAAAACAAGGAGCAGGTAGGACAGGGTAGGACAGTCAGCTCTAGTCTGAACCTGCATGTGGTGACCAACAGTAGTATCCATTACAGGCTGTCTGACCACATCCTGTGTCAGGCGTGACAAGAATATCAGCAGTGTATCTCAAAACCAGTGGCATGTTAGTATTCATGTGAAATTCTAACTAGAAATGAGCAACAAGAGAATAAATTAATATTATCAGAAGTACTGTGGGATTTCTCTAAGTTTGGCTGCCAAACGGTGGTAATTTTTTGTGTATATATATATTTATGTGTCTGCCGTACAATTGTATACTTTTCTCTCTCTATATATACACAAAGAACGACAAAAATAGTTTTTCATGGCTATTTAACATACATTTTTTTGTTTGTGCAGCTTATATTTCTGTCATGTAAAAGCCATTTGTTTACATGATCATTAATACTGCCATCTCATTAGACCATGACTCAAATACAGCTCTACAATGCAAGTGAACAAGAACTTTCTCCTTTCTTCTGAAATACTCAGACATAGCTACTGATTTCCAAGACAGAAAATTTGCATTCTCTCTTCTATATTTAAGAAAAATGTTATAAAACATTAAGCCATGTAATGCTTAACTGCAAGACTTATCTTGAAGGAAGTACAAACATTCAGTTAGTTTGAAAGTAAGGGTTACAAAAAGCTGTGCAATATTCCACCAAGTTCACTACTGTCTCTCTTTGTGGACCATCAATACCTCTACAGGTAGCTGTTACAGTTTAGCCGCTGGACTGTGCCACTGCAATAACGTCAGCTGATTTTTTTTTAAATATAGCCACATTAACATAATCAGTCAAAAGCTATAGGCAGCATTACTGCTAATAGGAAAAAAACTCTGTCATAGCTTTCAACAAAACAGAGAATATGCCAGGTTTTAAGAATTCATTAAATAAGGATAAATAAGACAAAATTTATGGCAATGCTTATTCTCATATTCACAGCTGGCCATTTCAGGTCAAGAAAATAGAATCAGGAACAGTTTAACTGTGAGCATACAACATATTGTGAAGAGTGCGTTTTGATGGCCTGTTTTTTTCCCTTTCTGCATTTTCACATGCTTTCAAACATACAGGCTGACCGGCAAACAGCATCTGTACAGGGCAGGGGTATCTCTAAGAGTAACATGTCTTCTCTACATGAAGGTGTTTTTTTGGCAGGGGGGTGGAGGCTAAGCATACACACTCAAATAAATCTTCTGAGTCTAACTTAACTGATAAATTAAAGATCTTTCAAATGTTTTTCTGAAAACAAGATTTGGGACCATCAGCCACTTAACTCTAAACTCTCAATTTTACCAGAACATTGGGAACCGCTGGAGCCTATACACATGCAGCTGCTCAAGTGCTTGATCAGACCAGGTCCTGATTTAGTTTAGTTACTGATTATCTTTTACAAAGAAGCAATTTCTTAAAACATTTAGACACTGAAACCAGCCTGGAAGCCACTGTCCAGTAAATAAGAGAAGTTCCACTATTACTTCCTACCAGCTTTCACAGATAATCTCATGAAGAGTTTGAGTTAAATCAGGTAGAGGAAAAAGTGGGGAAAGGGAGTCAGTCAGGGAAATCTAGTTCAGTTTTCAAATTGTCAGGTTTGTCAGACTAATGTGGAAGAGTGGCACTGTATTTATTTATGAAGTGAAGTAAAAGTACTTGTTATTCCTTGTAAAAAGCTCAAGGCTCCGAATGCAGACCCCCAGTGGTATTTCCACACTTAAATGCTTCAGCAGTTTCTTGTTTAGTGGGTGAGCATTTGTGAAACCCATCCCCCTCTAAAGAGGGGCTGGGGAATCTTCCTTAACCTTGCTCTTCCCCAGAATACAAAAGAGCAACATCTAGGTCTAATTCTGTGGTCTTTATGGGTAGATACCTACAAATATAGAGATACTGAAAGCTGTAATCTTTCTGCAAAGTGTTTCTTTTGAAGTTAAATGAATTTTCAATTAACTACACTAATAAAATTGTATTACTGTGGGCTATCATTATAGCTTTTCAATATATTAAGCCAGAAACAACTTTAAAATATTGTTGGATGAGATCTTTTAAATGGAGGTTAGAGAAATGTAAATTGCTACTTTTCTCAAGAATTGTGAACTTCTAACCATAATCTGAAGGTTTCCAATTCAGAGAACCTCCAATGTGTACATCAATTTGAGTTTAAACAGACATAGGAAACTTAATTTGTATTGCACACACCTGGAAACTCTCAGTTAATGGTTAACTTGAGTCATAAGTACAAAATATGCCAATATTAATATTTCTATATGTATGATTTTGCATTTGACACCCCCTTTTTGTGCTATGCAAATGTGAAGCCCTCACTTCACTCTCAGAAAAGCACGTTTTTGGTGATCTAGTTACTAAACAACAAGCAAATCTAGCCTGCCTCTCAGTGACCTGCAGCTCTAACTCAAACCATTTCCATTTCATAAAAATAAAAAAATAAATACGGAGATACGAAGTCTTCCTTACTACTTGTGTAGCTGATTTTCTGTGGTTCCTGTTAAACAGTCCATGTTTGTTTCTTCAGATTCACTTCTGTTTAAATTGTCTTTTGTTTTCTTTCCCCCCTACCTTTGTCAGTCACGAGAAATGGCTTCACAAGTAAGTATTTGCTTATTGTCTGCCTGTTTCTGGATGTCATGGTTTAAGCCTGGTAGGCAGTAAGCACCACGCAGCCACTCGCTCAACTCTACCCCAGTGGGATGGGGGATAGAATTGGAAGTGTAAAAGTGAGACAACTTGGGGGTAAGATAAAGACAGTCTAATAGGTAAAGCAAAAGCTGTATGCACAAGCAAAGCAAAATAAGGAATTTGCTGCTTCCCATCAGCAGGCAGGTGTTAGCCATTTCCAGGAAAGCAGGACTCCATCATGCATATTTGGGAAGACAAATGCCGTAACTTTGCAAGTCCACCCCCATTCCTTCATCTTCCTCCAGCTTTTATTGCTGAAAACAGTGCCGCACAGTATGAGGTGTCCCTTTGGACAGTAGGTGTCATCTGTCCTGTGCGTGTTCCCTTCCCAACTTCTTGTGCCCCCCCAGCCTATTCACCAGCAGGGCACTGTGAGAAGTGGGAAAGGCCTTGACACTGTGTAAGCACTGCTTAGCAATAACTGAAACATCCCTGTGCTATCAACACCATTTTCCAAAGATTTTGCCATGTTTCTATTTTAAGGAATCTCAAAAAAAAACCCAAAAAACACTTCATAAGAAACACAATGTTGAATTACTACTATTATTATAGTAGTAGTGACACCATATCATCAGTTATGCCTCTCATAAAGTAGGTTTACAAGCTATGCAAAAAGGAAATTAAAAGACATTAAAGCAACCAAACGTCGACATGAAGTAATGATAGTTGCAGAAGTACTTTTAAAGAAATTCTGAGACTGATTAAAACAGAGGGGGACACACAGAAGTACTCTGCAATGGGCTTTTATCTTCTTTTTTGCTGCCTTTGAAACAGGTTTTGGGTTTCTTTGGTTTTGCTTTATCTTTAAACAACTTAATTTTTTTCTCCAGCGTACAGGGAAGGACCATTCTGCACACCTTTCTCAAGAGGCATTGTAAAAACTGAATAGTAACCTAAGTAAATATTTAACTTTATCACCTTCATTCATGATTTCCATTCACCTCTCCCAGCATTTTGAAAGTTCAAGCTAAGGATTTACAGATTGACAGAATCAAAGACTTGTTCTTTTACTTGGCCTCTCCTGATCATTCTCTGGCTCAAAAAATGTGACTTACCCTCCTGCAATAATTAGGATCATTGGTCCCTGCCTTTCCAATACTACTGCCAGCAAGTCCAGATGGCTGTTTTATCAAGAGTTGGACAAAGAAAGCTACCAATGCAGACAGGAAGAAAGGCAAAACAAGACCAACCTTTATACTGTTTGCAATAGATTTGTTCACACCAAATAGACCCTTCCCATCCATAAGTAGCACCTTACCATATGGAATGTACTCTGCTTACCTTAATCCATACTGAAAAATACATGCAAACCCAAAATGACAATTTAAAATAACAAACAACAACAACAAAACAAATAGAATTCCTGTGCATAGCGATTCAGTTCTTTCCTTTATGTCCTACCCAAAATAACATCAGCTGAGTGAGTCAGTAACTTCAAAAATAATGTAATTTTTAAAAAAAACAACCTTTCTATTGCAGGCTAAGCTGAAGAGCCTCAGTAAATTAGTGGGTCTTTGCATGAGGCTTATTGCAAAATCCTAGTCTTGAATATTAAAAATGTCATTTTACTTGAAGAGCTACAACATAAGCTTATTCACTGTTCTTTTTAATTATGGGGTTTGATTGTTTTATTGTTCATTTGGATTTTGTTTTTTTTTTTTACATAGATTAAAGCTGTTTTGTGCAAAGGGGAAAAAGTAGTATCTTTCTCAAACTGTCAGACTTACTCATATCAAATACTATTTTATGGACTTACAGAGTCTGCTTGGGAGAGGATGCTGAGCCTCTTAAAGTTTATAGTCAACACTAATGAGGTCAACAGAATCTTGCTTTCAGATTTTATATTAATGGGAAAGGGCCTTTAGAACCTCAGTACCTCTTCAGTTAAATTTGCTTTATACACTGATCACTTCCAGCTTATTATGAACAGGTTTTTGGGAGTCATACAAACTGAGCCAGCTCCACTTTAAGTCATCTTTGTTTTATACTTCATTTGTTTACTTTAAACACTCAAAACAATGAAATCAGTCACCAGAACTTGCTAATATGACTGCGTTGATACCAGCGACAGCTTCACTATTTTAATGTCAGTAAAAGATGTGTTTGAAAGATCACAACAATAACTCAGGATAATAAGTAGTTTTGACACTAGACGCTAAAAGTATGTTATATGTAAAATAGACATTAAAACAATTTTGAAGTTCTTTTGAAATGTTTAATCTTATATTTCCTATGTCTTCTTGTGTATGTTAGAACCACATACGTAACCCGTCAACTTGCATTATTGGTTGTATGCATATACTATTGGTCATACTTAGGTGGCATGCAGGAAACACAGCAACAGAGGAACAGATTTTGGGCCTTAAGTCTGCTTTTTTTTTTGTTACTGTACGAGTGAAAAACCAACATCACTATGCTTTACAGTAAGAATTAATTACCTCATTTGCAAGAGGTGCCCTGAATCACACTAAAGGCTAGAAGGTCAAAAATGCCTGGGAATTTGAGGCACAGGTAACAAACACATTCTACCTGTAGTTTTAAAAGAGTATTCAAAACAGTGCAGCCAAAGTTGAACTATTACTTATTGAATCCACAACATACATCTAAAAAGCAGTTACAGAACTTGAATTTCTAAAAACCTGTAGACTTGGAGGAATGTGGAGAAGTCATTCAGAAGAGATTCCTGGATTCAGAAAAGGCAGTATCAGAAGGCTAGAGTTGTTCTTCTCAGAATCAAAATGGAATCAGGCACTAAATAAGATTTAACTGCTTTTGCACTTGAGAAGTGTATTTATATCATAAATGAGCTGTTTGCATAAAAAGTCAAAGTCTAATAAAGGGTGCCCAATTCTGGAACACTTGCTAAGTATGAACAGCTGAATCACCTCAGCTCCACTGCAACCAAAACACATGTTGCACTGTTGAAAAGAGGAGAGAACATCTTAATCTGCTTCCATTTATTAAAGCTCTTAATCTCTCTCGTCATTTTCCTTTCAAGTCTCAAATCTCTATCAGTGTGGAAGAATGGGAAGACACTAAAGACATCAAAGAACAGATTAGTTATCGTAATAATCATCGTAATTCAACATCTAGTGATCAGTCTGATCATCCCTTGTTACGACGAAAAAGCATGCAGTGGGCCCGACGGCTGAGCAGAAGGGTACCGAGGCACTCCGGGAAAACAGCCGAGAAGATAAACCAGCAGCGAATGAACCTTTACAGGAGGTCAGAAAGACAGGAGCTTGCTGAACTTGTGAAAAACAGAATGAAGCATCTGGGCCTTTCTCCAGCAGGATACGGTATGATTACCACAATACTTTAAATTAATAAAAACATCAGTATTATGCAAGCTTATCTTATTTCTAAGAACTGAGCGTGCTATAAAAAAATATTAAATTTATGACAATGTTTTTATTTTGTTAGTTTTTGGGATTTGTGGGGTTTTTTGTTTGTTAGTTTGTTTTCCTGAGAGAGAAACTTGTTGGAGTGTTTTTAATCAGTTCTATTATCACCCATTTTCAGATGGAAAGCTCAGAAGGCAGCATGTCAGCCACATTTAAGTCATTTTTATGAAGCATGTTTAACTAGGACTTTAAATGCCATTTTCATTCTTCAAGTCCTTCTGCAGCAAGGCTGATGCTGGGTTGCTTTTTTGTTTGTTGAGAGTTGGTTTGTTTGGGGTTTTTTTGGTTTGTTTGTTTTTTTTTAAAGTACTGTGAAGAGCTCTGTAACACTTTAATATATGCACCACAGCTGCCTGGGCTGCCTTTCTATGGCCTTGGCTCTTTAGCGTGTTGTGTGGAAGCTCCTAGAACTATAGGTTCTAGTTTTCCTTGAAACACCAAGAATTTATAGATCCCAAATTACTTGTCTGCACAGTAAGTCTGATCTGTAGCTTAGTGCTTTCTATTTCAGAAGCACCAACACTGGGGATCCCATACTTAATTTTCATTTGAAGAATCCAAAATGTATTGCTTTACAAATGTGTTACTCTATTTTTCAACACAATTGTTTTTAAATTTGGCTTGTCCCTGAAATATCCACTAACTGAAGGTAAATGCGGTATTTCCTGTAGAAGGGATATTTTTATTTGTCCATTTTAACACACATTCTTAATGCAGGGTCAAAACCTCTTTTGACATGAATAGCAGTGTACTACCTACCCAACAGTAGTTCTTGTTGTTGATACAAAATCAATTTAATTGTGAGAGAAGGATCAATCTTTACAACCTAGATATGTAAATAAAAGCTTTTTATCCTGTACTCCAACTGGACAATTACTATTCCTGCTTTCTTCAAGGATACTATATGACTGTCTGCAGGAAGATTCAGGAGGAAATATTTTCCAGGAATGACACAGGCTACAATAACATGTGAACAACCACAAAGAAGTTTTGTAAATTTGATTCATATTTATACTAGTAACAAGAAAATGTTTTTGTATTCCTGCTTTTCTTTGAAAATCCTAGTTAAAAGCCAACAGTAAATATTCAGTTCATTACTTAAATTTAGGAAGATTATATACCATCTGCAGAACAGCAAAATCTTGACAAGTAATGTTTCACCTGATTACATTTATCTGCCCTGATTCTGATTTATAATTTTTTATGATCACTTCCCTATTCTCTTACAGATGTGTCCCATTGTAAAGAAAACTTCTACTTTTACAACCCCAGGAACACCCACATTCTGAAAAAAACCCAAACCAAACCCCTCAAAAAACCACAAAGCAGTTTTACGCATGCAGTCAGCTGCAAACCTGGGTTGTCACATTCCTACTGCCCTCTCTCCACCCTCATATTCAGAAAGAAATTTCAGAAACCTTTCACCCATCTTGAAACCTAGCTCACTCCCCATTCATCCCATACATATTAAACATGGAATAGAAACTTTTAAATCTCCCTGTTTGTTCAAACTACCAGGAACCCGTTATCATGCCCATTAGCTCCCTGCAGAAGTTAAACATACTCCTTAGTACTATCTCTCTACGTCTGTGGGGAACAATGAAAAAAACCCAAACAGCTAGGAAACAAAAATCACAGCTGCTTATGAATCTCCTTGTATGAGGATGATCTCTAAAGCCAATTTCACATCTTCAATGTCCTTTTTACATTGATAACCTAATGACTTCCAAATTTAAATTCAATTAAGCCAACTGAGACACAATACAGTTTTGACTATGAAAGCATCTAGCAGAGGTATGATGGTAGTATGGTGGTACAGGTGCTTGCATAACTAGTTACAATACTTTGCATCAGTTTCACCTTACAGAAATAAGCCATATTGTAAACCACCATTTTAGCTGTATATCTGCATCTATAATGAGTGTATGTGAGTTTATCTGAATGTTTTCTAGACAGTGGTACTTATTGCAGTGCAAATATGGGATACAAGTGTGTAGAAAAATTACATATACTAGAAAATACCCAATAAGGGATTTTTAAGCTATAGACAATAAATCAGGAATACTTCATTAAAAATGATTTTGGAATTGCATTCAAATTAGAACAAGGTTGATCTCTTTCAAATCATTTTCCCTAAAACACTAAAGAGAAATTAACACAGACGCAATGCCTCTCCTCTTAAGTCCTAATAAATTAAAACTTGTCTCACTGCAGCACCCCAAGAAGTGTACCAATAGGAAAGATACTGCAATGACAGCTACAAAAGTGTAGCGAGACTCAACTAGGCAGAAATCTTCAAAAATAAACAAAAAAATATTTTCTCTCACCGTTCATCTGCAACATACCAGTAGAAGAATAGTTAAAAATGCAAGAAATAAATACCAATTTATTTCACATTTCAACCCATTGGCACAGGTGATAAAAGGAAAATGTTTACTAGACGAAGAGGGAAAGGTTTATGTTGACCAAAAAACAGTTTATGTTGACCAAATCTGGAAATGGATGAGAATGCCATATGCCTGCATTTAACCTTGCTTATCAATTTAACTCAGTGCCAACTGAGGATGGAAGTCCTCACTTCCCACATACTAGCTCAAGCCGCATAACATATTGGTAAATGACACTAAGATGGGGTTGCATTTAGAACTGCTATCACTGAAAAAATGCAAAAGAACATTTTTAGATGATTCAGAAAGAAAGCAGGATATTTGGAGAGCTGATAACTCAAAATACGCTATGTCAGTTCCAGTGCAAGTACAGTTGGAAAGAAGTTGCTTGTTACTCTAAATCACATTGACCCCTGACACTTTTTGGCAGCTCTGTGAACCACAGATGATCTTTTATCAAATTAGTTTGTCAGAACTCATACTTTCACAGTTTTTTTGTAAATATAATTAATTCACTATGGTTTTCTTTTTGTCCTCTAGATGCAATGAACGATCATCAGAACACCCTTTCTTACATCCTGATCAATCCTTCTCCAGATACAAGATTAGAGCTGAATGATATAGTGTAAGTTAAAGCACACAGCAAAAAAAAGCAAAAACCACACCAAAAAACCCCACAAGACCTGCAAAATTTCTTGTTTTCACTTTCTGCCTGAATTTATTTTATTATCTTTCCATTGGAAAAGAACCCCAAACTTTCCCATGCATGTGGAAAAAGTAAAAATATGGAGACTTCTGTTTAAATGGACACCTAGTTATACATGTATATTTATATATTAAAATACGCATATAAATATATAGTACACATTAGTAATGCTCTTACCTTTATATTTTCTCATCCTCTTTTTACTCTGTGTATTTACAAAATAATCTAACCAAGTGTTCTGGATAGCTTCACAGAATTAATATTGTCATTAAATTGTTGCTTATAATTTAGCTACCCAGTGTTTTCTTCAAATGGGGTTTTATTACATAGATTCAAAACTCATTAAAGTAAACAGCACATGATATTCATGCTTAAGATCATTTGAATACAAATGGCAGGACTTTAACACAGGAACTCCCCATCTGCTCCATGGGAAAGAAACTACATGGCCCCAGTTGTGCAAGGCCCTCGATGTTAGTGCTGACCCACCTCACTGTTTGCTCACAAGGAGGAAAACTGCCCTGTTAGCCCTCCTGGTACTAAAAGAAAGTCATCATAGTGCTTTGTAGCACTGTAGGATGTGGAAAGACAGCACGATATTAACTGTATAAAGCAATAAAGGCAATTATAATAACATTTGTTTAAATTACTTGGAATACTATTTTCATTTTTATGAAACTCCACAGTATGATGTGTACTAATATTTAACTTGTAAATTCACATACTGTTACCTAGTCTATGCAGGTGGACTAAGTATCCTGCATTCCATTTTTATTTGCAAAACCAAAGGTACCCAGAAATCCAATATCACATAATTTTACAGCTGTAACTGAATTTGTAGTTGGTACACATATTTAGCCTGTAAATTTAGCCTGCATATGTAAATGCACATACTGTTACCTAGTTTGATATATGTTAATTTCCTGATGCGTAATGGGTGCAAGTGTGTATTGGCTTAAGCTCACACTTTTTTTTTTTAATGAAAAAAATCCTTGTATTTGGATAACAGCTAACACTTCAATAACTCAGATCATTATTCTATCGGATTGTATTCTCTTGACTGGGTAGCTAGTTCACCCTCATGCAATGGGGGATTATTAGTGGAGAGGAAAGGAAGAAGAGATAGTTCTCTTTCTACAGTTCTCTTGGTTGCAAACCCCAGAGTAGATAAAAAGCTTTTTTTATTTGTCATTCCAGCTGACAATCTGGAAGGCTAGTCTACCTATGTTTTTTCTTGTCCCCTTCTCAATACATTTTGCAGACTTCCTTCAGCTGGTTACTCTCTCATCACATTTGCTAGCTGCACTTTTATGCCAAAGTGGCTTATTCTTATCCAAACCACATATTTCTATGCGTATCTATGATAGAAGCTAGAACATGTATCCATTTTAAGTCCTTTTTATGCAACCTTCATTCTCTGGTTTCCCACGCTTATACAATTTTAAGTCTTTTTCATTCATTACAATCCTGTTACATTTGTAATTTATTGTGGGTATATTAGGGAACATACAACCCTGAACCAGCATAGGAGGAAATTTTCTCAGCCTAGGTTGCATCCAAAGTAGCATTTGCAGCTGTTAGTTGCTCAAAAGGATTTCTTGTTAGTCTTTACACTTGTTAGCTTTGCAAGCTAATGTTTAGTATCTCGACCTGATGGAGCTTAAAGGGCAATGATCTCACTGTCTTTATTGAACAATTACAATAAAAGCACTTAGATTTCAAGTAATATGTTCGGACTTTGCCTTAGTAAGTCCAAATTTCATCTAGCCTATTTGCCTTAGGAAGCAACTACTGAATAGCAGTATTTTCATTCTAAAGCAATGAGATTTTTGTACAAAAACATTTAACATTTTGACTCTTAGCAGGGGATGATGTTCTTTTTCTATATCAGAGTTTAGTACTTGCAGTAACGCTCCTTGTTCTCTTTCATTACAGAATTAGTACAACACATTCGGTTACTAGCACTGGCCCTCTCCTTAATTAACAAAAAAAAAAACCAACAACAAACAAACAAAAAACCCAAAACAGCAAACACAGAGTGCATGTGATCTCTGGATATTTAAACATTTTCATTTTGCTGATGAGGAGATGGACAGACACGTGGCACCAAGATTTCTGAGAATATGAAAGGGTCCTTTCACACTTCATTTTTCTTTCTTTGCAAAAATACACAAACACCCAGTCAAAACCAGGCTTTGAAATAAAATTTCCAGTGGTTTCAACAGTACTGCTTATCTTATGACAAGTTTAAGATACCAGGATTGAATCTAGCTGTCTGTCTTCTCTTTAGAAGCGTAGTGGCATTGGAAATCACTGATTAATAGTTCAGAACACTGAAATGTTGGTTCTGCAGCAGCAGAAAGCTGCTACTGTGTCAGAGCCAAAAGCTGTCTCAGATCAGATAGTTTGTCATTTGAGACAGCTGACCAAACAGTGCAGAATTTACACTTAGAAATTCACGGGAAGCTTCTCCATCCTTATCGTAGGAAAAGTAATTTGAAACATCTCAAACAGATTCAAACTCATGAGGTATTTTCCTCAAGTATTTGGATCTACCAGAAGTTCTTAAAGTAAGGGTCCATCTCCAGACTGTCAGCCTACACCAAGATTATCAACATGCTTTTTATTTATTGAGCACAGTGACAAGAATTATTGATCGTTTTCTCACAAAATTCTTTTTTTAAATTACTGCTTTCTCTCCATTAAGGCAGAGTGAAAAAAGGAGATGCATAAAGCAATGCAGGGCTACTGGCAAAGGAGCTGTCAGTCAAAATTAAGGTTTAGCTGTGCCTAGTACATCCAGGTGATATCTAGGCAGACAAATGTGAAAAGCTTTATTACTAGCAGCTAACTTGAGTGGTGTTCCCCAAGTGTCCAAGTTACCCAACAAGAACTAGATTAAGCACTGTTAAAGTAAATCTATAAGTCTTCCTCAGATCTTTTCAACATTACAACTGTATGCATGTATTTTATCCTTGATCACGCCAAGCTTTTTTAATAAGCATTATAATTTCTTTTTGTAGATACTTGATCCGACCTGATCCATTGGCTTATGTTCCAAATACTGCACCAAGCCGAAAAGACAGCTTCTGCAATACAGTGGGACAAGACACCAGGGAGGAAACACAACTTTGATATGGAACTTATCACAAAACTAATAGACAATTTTATACACATGTTGTTTCCACTAACCATTTTGAAAACTGAGTGGTACATTTTATTCAGATTTTAGAAACAAAAAGACAGTGGGTAAGTGACCAAATTTAGAAATATGGTGTCTAGAAACTGATTTAAGGTATTGCCAGGCTAGCGGCCTGTTCAATATGGTGTTGAACTTTGTCAGCTTAACAGAATTATGGCACCTATTGCTATTTAACCCGTATGAGCAAATGATTTTAAAAGTGACAGATTCCATCATGTGTTTTGCTTAGATGCATCTAAGCATATTTATCAAGGTGACAGAATGTCAGTGACTAAGCTTCTGACCTATGTCAGTAAAGATTATCTGATGCCTCTAGAGAGACCATGCATAATTTGTAGTAGAAAATATATTAATACCTAAGGCTGCCAAACAAGGCTTTGCGTGTCAAGAACCTAGCCTTTGGAATATTTTTCAATCTCAGCCTGGCACCCACTTATATTAGAACAGGCTAGTTTCAGTCCCATTTTAGCCTCCAGGACTTGAATGTTAGTTCTCTGGGTTTACACAGATCAGGTTGAATGACACAACCTAGTCACGCCTTAGAGGTTGAGATCTGAGGCGTATCCGCTGAAAATGAACTCAGAGGAGCCCACCTGGAGGAAAGTCCCTCATCTCACACAGGCAGCCCCCCCTGCATTTGCAAAAACTGGGAAGGTACTATCTGTGTGATGCTGCAAACAATGGTAGCTCAGGTGAAATATAACCCTTTTTAACTTTAGTGAGTTTGTCAATAGAAGCCTGAATAGATTATGATACAAAAGTGAGAGCATCCCTCTAGGGAATGATTCATACCACAGATCCTTCCCATTTCCATGAATATGCCAGAACTGCAGCTATCCAAAGTACATTCATGCCTGGTCATTCAGATTACCCAGAAATGATGCATTTCCATATGAAATTATGTATCACATTGAAAATTAAGGAAATTTGTAATCCATTCCATAAAACAAATGTAGTACCATATTATGTGAAAAGGCACCATGGGTCTGAAGATTCCATTTTGGCATTAAGTACACAAGAAAGCATCTGCTAATGTGTGAAACATCTGAAGCTGCTACAGAATCTCTAGTGTACACATAAAAGAATGCCACATTTGGTCAAGCTTTCTAGAGAATTAAGCATATCTGTACATCATCATCATCCAAAATAACATTCTTGCTTTGCCATCTGTCACAAAGGGGGAAGAGCATGCTTAAGGTGAAAACCCTGCTGTTACAATTATCCATATAGAACTGGTACAAGAAATTTGGCAGGTAGTCTACAATTGAAAATTTGATTATTGTTTGAATTCCCTTGATGTCCTACATGCACAAAAGTTCAGTCAAAATGGTTTACATTCTCTTCTACATTATTTGGTAGAACAACTATAATTTATTTCTGAAAAATAAAACAGCAAGTTGCCCAGTGAACAACTCATGGATGTGAATATGTTTATCAGCATTGTAAGGATGTTGAAATCAGGTCACATTCATATTAGGAATGAGAGCAAATCTGCTATTATTCTCTCCCTTCCTCTTAATTCTTCCAAAATTAATCTGTTCCATATTAAGTCAGAAATCCTAAAGCCAAATTTTAAAATAACCCAGTCATTATGAACCCCTCCCAGACCAACGACTGGACTGGGACCTAACACAGACTTGCAGTGGACTGAAGCCATCAGAAGACCAAGAGTTTTACAAGAATATAGGATAACTGGAAAGTAGGGTTTCTCAGCAGTTTTTCAATACTGACATATTAAAGTAGCATCATGGTTTAGAAGGGTTTCAGGGATTCTTCACAGAGACCATTATTCTTCAGTGTTTTTTCACACACACTAGTCTTTTATCAAATTATTCCCAGGTAAAAACAAACTATTTCAAATGTTCCCTCCAGGCACTATGGAAAAAAAGAAACAATTGAAACAGCTGCACAGACTGAAGTCTACAGTTCTTTAAAAAACAGTATGTGGTACAGGATCTTGTCCAAGACCTGTCACAGGAGTTATTCCAGAAGAGATTACATGTGCAGCGTGTATCGCTTCTGATTTTTAGTGCCTTCAGTGTGAAGACTGGATTCCAGTTGAATATTTAAAAAAAAAAAAAAATACAAGGATCCTTTGTTTCATATCAAAGGTCTTTCAAATGGAAACTCAAGGAGGTAGACAGGATTCCAGAAATATGCCTACCCTTCAGCTGGCAAGCTAGAGACTCTGCTTTCGGTGTCATTCACACCCTGTTCACAGGCACTCCCACACATTGCCTATAGTACACCATCCACCCAAGGACTCTCTGCCACAAGGATCTATAGCTGGGAGTGATGCATTTAACAACCTATAAAGCAGTAGAAACAAGCAAGTCAGATATATCCATTTTTCCACCCAACTCAGCGGAATTGCTGCTCAGCTGGAGTTAAATAGTAGCATCTAATGTGACCTGATACAGCTCCCAAGCTTAATGAATTTCTAATTGCTCATTAGCCCCAGAAATTTGCTAAAGCAAACACAAAGACAGCTGAAGACACTTGCAGTCTCTAAAATGAATGAAAAGTAATATTTCTGAACAAAATAATAGGTTCTCTTCAAAGTCTGCTGGAAGGACAAGCAAGGTAATAGAAGCAACATCTTTTTTATGAAGCAGAAGTTCTAATAATCCATAAATAATATACCACAAAGTTCTTTTATTCAAAATATACTGCCTTTCACATTAAAAGCAGAACAGCTTTGCTTCCTCTGTGATATCTTCACGGACAGACACCATTCTAGTGAGATTTGCACCTTCCAAGAACCATCCTGAGCACTTCTACATTAACACTGAATGAGACAGTACACACATTCCTTCAATGGCCAGGAAGGCAATTCTCCTACAGTCAATCCTCTGTTCACATGCTTTCTTCTCATCATGATTGTCAGAAACATAAGTCTAGCTGGACTGGAGACCAGCTTGAGGAACAGTAATTGCTATGCTCTCTACTGGAAGAGGGATGTTGAAGTTCTAGAATCAGCAGGTCCGAATGACAGTTGAACAGGGGAATTTAGTGTGGTCATAGTTCACTCAATAGATGGAGAAGTTTAGAGCTATAATCAGTGGCATAAGCAAGACATTTAATCCTAAACCAGTTGCCAAAGGTCACATGACCAGATAATCTATATTTGTTTCTTTCAATTGGAAAAAAAACAAAGCCCAAACACCAGGATTATTTCAATCTGTGCTTAACTGTATGTATTTTCCTCCTAACTCAAAGTCCCCAACACAACCTTACCACATACCAAGCAATTTGGTACCCAAAGTCATGATGCCAGTGAAGAAAGTGATAGCAGGTAATAATTACTTCATTCTCACAAGGGAATTCTCCAGAAAAGAGGGAGTTTCCTATGAAAACATGTTACCTAGTCTGCAATAAAAAGTGAAAAATGTTTCAGTGGAATGCAGTGTTTCCTTAACTATTTCGCTCCAATTTCAGAACATGCAATAATTCGCCTGCAGCAGAAAGAGTTAGCGAACTTTTCATGACATTTTGACTTGGAAATTAAAAGGACAATTATTTCCCAGCATATGTATTTCCCCTCCCACAAACAGCTTCCAAATACAACTACTCTTTAACAACTTTAAAGTATACAAATATATATTACTGAATATTTCTTATACATCTTTGTTTATCAATGCACCAATAAATCATTAAAGAACAAAGAGATTTTAGGCTTCAGCAGTTGATGAAAACTTAAATGTCATCAAGTGCATCGGAAGTAACACACAATTCTGTGGTTTCTGGACAACTAGGGCTGACAGCAACCCTTCTATAATTTTGTAGCACTGATGCATGAGGTTTCCCTGCACTGAATTGCACTTGATATCTGGAGTTCCTCCAGAATTAGTACTGGGATCAGTGCTGTTCAACATCTTTGTTGGTGACATGGACAGTGGGATTGAGTGCACCCTCTACAAGTTTGCAGATGACACCAAGCTGTCTGGTACGGTCAACACACTGGAGGGGAAGGGATGCCATCCAGCAGGACCTGGACAGGCTTGAGAGGTGGGCCCATGCAAACCTCATGAAGTTCAACAAGACTACGTGCAAGGTCCTGCACATGGGTTGGGGCAACCCCAAGCACAAATACAGGCTGGGTGCAGAATAGATTGAGAGCAGCCCTGAGGAGAAGGCTTGGGAGTGTTGGTTGATGGGAAGCTCAACATGACCCAGCAACGTGCACCTGGAGCCCAGAAAGCCAACCACATCCTGAGCTGCATCAAGAGAAACGTGGCCAGCAGGTCAAGGGAGGTTATTCTGCCCCTCTACTCTGCTCTGGTGAGGCCCCACCAGGAGTATTGAAGCCAGCTCTGGGGCCTCTAGCATGGACCTATTGGAGCAGGTCCAGAGGACGGTCATGAAGATGATCAGAGAGCTGGATCACCTCTCCTGTGAAGACAGGCTAAGACAGTTGAGGTTGTTCAGCCTTGTGCTTGATGCAGAATATGCATTGCAGGGAGACAGATAGGAAAAGAGTCATTAATTCATATATAAGTTACAAGAGGTGACCAAGACTGTTCATGGCCATCTTCTGAAGTTAATCCAAAATATAAATGATGATTTTATTATATACTTCATTATTGCCTACACTACTTATGCAAAAAGGCTGTCAGTAATGGCAATTCAACACAAGCATAAACTCCCATGGCCTATCAAGAAGCTTAAAAAAGCAAATATTTCTGCTTCATATCGGTAAAAACAAGCTTTTGAAGTTTCTATGAACCATGGTTTTCTATTTGTTCCATAAAATTTAGACTGTATACTATTACATAAATTCACAACTGGCCCAAGCAAGGAGAGAGGTTGGGATGCAGAGTGCAGAATAAAAAGAGTGAATACCTATTCATGTGCATGAGGTGTCCCAGCCAAGTTGGGGCACCCCAAATGTAATTCTACATAGGGGTAGAACCTTTAAAGCATTCAGGTACAACATGGTTTGACTAATCACCATCGCTCACACTACCAGTTACTAACCATAGTAAAGTTTCTCTATATCATTTCCTATTTCTTCTTTTTAACTTTTGCCAGCTTGGGCTGGCTGATGAACGATAGCTAGTTTCTTTGGCAATTGTATACCTTTTAACAGCTCAGTATTTACTCCCACCATAAGTTAAAACCCTCAGTGCTGCCATAACCACACAGTGGTGTGGCAGACTCCAAGTGCAAACAGAGAATTGGTCTAGTTATAGTCTTTTCTTCTGGCAGCCGCCAAGTCTTTGTTAATGCAGTCAATTTTACTGCTTCTGCACTCAACTTCAGATGGAGTGGTGAAATGTCCACTACCTTATCTTCAGTAGTTACTGAATAACCTGTAATTTGGTTACTGTTCACATAACACAAGGACCTGTCTACACATAATTCAAGATCAGGATCTGAAAATGGCACATCCATTAGAATATTCTCAGTAGTTGGTTGGGTTTTTTTCAGCTTCATAGGTTATTACTGCACGATCATGATGTGGTGTTCCTTCCCCAGGTAAAGGAAGTAAAGTTTTAGAATGTGCAATAGAAATGTAAACTATGAAATTAATTTATGCTTAATTATAATTTAATCTGGGTAAAATAGAATCATAGAATATCAAGCTGGAAGGAACCTCAAGGATCATCTGGTCCAACATTTCCTGGCAAAAGCACAGTCTAGACAATGTTAATTAATCTGAATGCAAACGTGTGGTGGACTACTGTTAGCCCGTATCCAAACACCCACCCAGCTGCTCACCCACTTCCCCCCTCCTCAAAGGCACAAGGGGAGAAAATTGGATGAAAAAGCTTGTGGGTCAAGATAAAGACGGGGAGATCACCTACCAGATACTGTCAAGGGCAAAACAGCCTTGGGGAAAATTAATTTAATTTATTGCTGATTAAAATTCATTTGGATACTGAGAAACAAAGCCAAAATTAAAACAATACCTTTCCCCCATCTTTTCTTGGGCTCAGCTTAACTCCTTTACCTGCTCCCTCCCAGCAGCAGAGGGGGGTCAGGTGTTAAGGTCCCCTCCCTGCTCCTCCCCCTGTTTAGAAAATTTGCTCCAGTGTGAGCTCTCCAAGGGCCACAGTTCCTTCAGGAAATATCCAGCTGTTCTTGGTTTGAGAGAAAAAGGGCATAAGCATATGCTATTGTAAACTGGTCAGTAGTTCAACTAACTCACCTCACATGTATCATACACACATGAAATAACACAGCTTATTATTAGCTCTATCAATCTTCCTTCTCATGCTTTTATTTCTTTAGAAACTCTGTATTTTGACATGTGTCTGAAAAAATAGTTTATGTTGATTGCAACTTTGAAAAATGCCAAAAAGCTCTCAAAATAAAATTCCCCTTTTCTATTAAAATTCTTCCCAGGGGAAAAAAAAAAAAAAAAAAAAAAGAAACATACTTTGGAAATAAATTCTTACCCACAATAATTTCCCATACTATTAAACCAAACAATTAGAATTTGTGAAGATCATTTTTCTAAAATCAAACATGTAGTGAAGCTGGAATAAGCTGCCGCGTACATTAAGTTGCCTCAGTGACACAATGCTTATTCACATAAACATGCATTTAACTACATTCAGAATTTAACATTACATCAGATAAGCTGAAAGAAGCCAGAATTTGGCCTAGTTAAAATAAAAAGGAAAGAAGAAGAAGAATAGAAAGGAGTAGATAAAAAGAGAAATGAAATTAGAAAAATAGAAAGGAGATGAATGTGGTACTTTTTGTTGCCACTCCTTTTAGTTATTTTTTTCTTATTCACTTAAAAAATACAGAATTGCCAGCTCACAATTTAAAATCTACCTCATCAGGTTCTAATTATACCCTGTCTCATCCCAGATTTTTGGAAGAATTTAAAAGTAAGACAAACAAACCCCTCACATTCAAGCAATGTTTTCGTTATTTCCCCAGCTTCTTGAAGTAATGAGCTTTGAAGTCCTGTCCTTTCAAGGTAGTCACACAAATGGCAACATTTGAAGCAATCTTTTGAGAAAATGATACATGTGTTTGAAGATGCAAAATAAAGGCGTCCAGAAAGCTGGAGATAGGTACTTTAATTTAAAATTGCCAGTTGTTAAACATATCACACTATCTTAAATACTTTGTTTCAATTTACTTGACTTCTAGTCAAATTGACTAAACATACATAAAAGGAGGAGCTGGGAAGTGAGAGTAGAACACGAGATGTACCCACCTAAAATAAAGGCAGCCTCTCCTGGAGAGCGGCACTGCTCAGTGCTTTGCCATCTCCTTGCAGTCCTTCTGGCTCAGCAGAGATGCAGAGAGTCCCAATCCTGCTTGATCTGTAAGAAGTCCCAGATTTGACATTAATGAGCTGGTGATAAGAATCCATAGCCATTTCACCCCTCTTTTTTGAAACCTCTATTTCATTTCAAAGTTATAATATTCAGAGGATTAATTTGGCATCTCAGTGACGCGCACTCTGAGTTCTGAGGGAAGCAAAGATGTTGAAGTTTCTGTCTTTGAAGCAAGCTCTACTAATTTATTCTCAGGTTACAGTTGAAAAAAAACTTTCTTAAAGGCACCCAGGTACCAGAGAAAGCTAGTTCTACTCTCTTTTATCAGCACCCTTTGGCCTCCCAGAGAACTCAGGCAATTCTACTATCATTTACACATACAAACTCATTCAAATGCATAGATTCTGTAAAATCTGATTTAAATTATACCCAGACTGAGTTAATCTCATCAAAACTCTGCTGCTGCACAGAAACAATATTTACTTTTTTCACTGGAACATTTGTAAAACTTTTTTTTTAAAAAAAACACCCATGAATATGTGAAAAGCTGAAGAATTTTTGATTTTCTTTTTGCTTTACATAAGTGCACTACGGATTTAAAAATAGTCTTAGAGGAGATTTTAACAGCAACAGCTATCCTAGGGTCTGCTTGTCTCTAGCTAGCTGCTATATCAATTCTTCTTAAAGTACCCACAGAAATGTGGATGCTAAACATTTGATCACATGTTTTTATGCAGCTGTAGTACAATACTTACATGTAAAAATCCATCATGGTACAAAAAGGTGTGTGGAGAAAGGAAAGGGGAAAATAATTCTACACATTCTACACAGAGTCCCCAATATCTCCCCCTTTCATCTCTTATGTTGTTTTCACCTTTTTTAATGCCTGTCTAGTGGGGTCTTAGGAGTCAGTGCTGCCAGATTTTCTCCATCAGGAGGTAGAGAAGGAGAGGGGTTTATGGCAAACTGTCAATGCCCTGCATTCTCTACCAGAAGGAATATTCTGATATTGATGGAAGTGTTTTTTCCCTACCCCAGAATCCACTAGTGCCAATTTCCACGTGTTTTATAATAAAACACTTTCCTCTCTCTTTGTTGGTTCTCAGTTCCATGTGAAACCTCATTTTACTATGCATGTTGTGGTTACGTTGGATATTTCCT